TTGAAATATCGTTTTTGTGCGAAACGGTTTCATTCTAGAATAAGATAAAAAATTATTTATGTGAAATTTAACATTATTTACCAATTAAAATAAGTCAATATAAATGGATTTGAAAATATGAAATATACAATTACAGGCATTACAGCAATAACTATATAATTGTACCGATCATTTTTTCCCTTCCAGTCTGTGTATCTTTACAAATCATGTAATTCAGATTTAAATTATTTGAATGAAGGGACACTGAAAATGATCCGTTTGGATTTAGCGACTGAAAAATATTTTCGACTAATTTATGAACTGATTATGATAAAATCCCAAAACGTAAAAACAACTTCAAGTAAAGACTTTTTCATCAAACCAATGGGAGCTTTTATCAAATTTTATTGAATAACGAATAAGGCAATTAAAAAGTATCAATTATTGAGAAAACCGTTTTTAGTTGGTAAAAATATAGACTTGTTACTTAAGATATTTCTTAAATATTTTGACGGAAACTTTGGTGCAAGGAGAACGCACAATTATTCAACACGCACGGCGCAAACCGACCCGCTAGTGATGCCTCTCTTAGCCAGAATAGATTTCACGAAAGAACGTGGGAATTTATTATGCCGCGACTTTGGAACAAGTTGCCTGCCCGCTTAAAAAACTTTAATACAATTAATACGGCTAAAGAAAACATAAAATTATGGTATCAAACCTTAATTCCAGACTGAAAAAAATTTGCAGTTCCAGCACACACAAAAATTAACCCAAAATTAAATGAAAACCTTTTTATTTTTAATTTGCAGCACAAATAAAAATAGACATAATTATTGAAACAAAAAATTATGCAGTAAATCCTTAACACCAAAAGATATAAAAATCTGACCTTCCCCTACCCCAACCAAATCCACATCCTTTCTTAATCTTTTTTCTCTCTCTTTTAGTTTTCAGCTTTGTTGTCATCATCGCGTGGACCAAAATTAAGGATATGCCAGCAAAAATGATGATTTTTTTAAATAAAGTTTAAAAAAAAAAAATTAATTGGATGGTGCCTTCTGTACCACCAATAAAGGGCACAGGCCGACAAGACTTTGTCTTGGCCTGACCCTAAAAAAAAAAAAAATAAAATAAAAAACTATGTTTTTTTTTTTAATATAATTCCAGAATGTAAAAATTGGCGTGTGTTGTCCATAATTTTTCCTTTCGCCATGATTTCCCTGGTGCCAACCGGTTTTGGCGGTTATATTAGTTTGTAGACAAAGGTGCGTATGTAACGCGATTATGACAGCGCCTAACTTGCGCCTCGACACCCTTCGCATCCCAATCTGGGCCTGCTGGAAACGTGTGAAGTGATTTATTAGTTTTGCCAGTGTGCAATTAAGGCTCCTCTGCATGCGTTGCGGAAAATGAAAATTGATTTCACCCAATTTTAACGGATCTGCAACATTCGATATACAAAATGTTGAAGATAAGAAGCCGTGATTAATTAAATGCTCACGAAATAAAGAACTATCTTGCTGAATGATTTTCTACAAATTAATTCAAATGAAATCCTTGGTTATTATTAGTCCAATCAAATTTTAGCACTTTTTTATTACAGCTTTTGATAGAATCTGGCACAATAATTTTGAAAGGTTGTGGGCTCGAGTGGACGCTGATTAATGGCACGATAATTGCTTGAACAAGTGCAGCCTGATTCAGCATTAATTTTACTTCTCTTGGTAGGAAATTTTATCGCCAGCGCTTTTTGCGCTGCTGGCAGGCTAATGTGAGGAGCAGATGGCTCAATATACATATAGTCACACACACACACACGTGCCTCACATTTTGCTCTGTCGAATCGTTGCGCGCAAATTAAAAGCAAGCTTTTTATACTCGACTCGCTGCGAGTCCATTATCAAATTACGCCAGCAGTCAGTCAGTCTCGCGTGTCGATTCCGCCCAGCCGGCAAAACTCTGATTTTAAAATTCCACACTCATGCATATTTTTAAAACCACTTTTTTGTCCCCAATTATGTGCAATATTGTTGGAAATTGTGCTCTTCACAGTGCGGAAAAATACTCGTACAGGGGGTAGGGGGATGAAAACTTTTTGCTTTTGCAGGTCTAGCCCGCCATAAAGTAGCAACACGGTGGTGTTGGTGGTGCTAATACCGGCGCCTCCGCCCTTAACGGCCAACCAACTTTCCCTCCTTTTTATCCACGCTCATTTTTCCATGCCCAAGTACATGACGGTGCGTGGGGGTGCGAGGGCGAGCGGCGGCAACACGTTATGAATAGCGATCACTCGCTGCCAAAGGTGCCGCGCCAGATTAAACAGCTCCAATATCATGGTCCTCCCCAAACTACCGTGCCGCAGTGCAAACAAAAACCCCAACCACTCGCACCGTTTCTTATATCAAAAAAGAATATTTTGTAATGCCATAGATGATTTGCTAACAGTAATATTAATGGAAGTTTTCATAATTTTTTAAGTGTGATCACCGAGTAAGGAGAAAAAATATAGATATAAAAAAATAACTTGAAGTCAGTCGCTCTCGAGCTTGCTTGGGAAACACTCAGGCTAGCTGATGAGACCTGGATTGGTCGAAACAGCTGTCCTAGCCAGTAGTGTATGGCCTTTGAATTAAATTTATAATATGTCATTGGTTGTTACTTATGCACATTTCAAGTCTCGCACTCCCTTAAGCGCGGATCTTTTTATGGCTTAAAAAATTAAATTTTGTTGCAACTTCAAATTGGATTTAAAATTTTAGATTATTTTCTAGTAATGCATAGATATCAAATTAAACTTGTGATGACAATCGCCCTTGGCCATTTTCGTACCCTTTTCCTCGGTGTTTTCATCAGTGTGCTTCCAAAGTTGAGCAGTTTTGGCAGCGTCCCTTCGTCCTTTTTCTCCCCTGCCCAGGAAAGTGTGTGTGTGCTTCTGTCGAAGAAACACACGCTCGCTCAGATACACATGTACAAAAATTATGTACATTCTTACTAGAGACCCCTCCCTCTCTTTCACTCTCTCGGTGGCTTGTTTTTTGTTTTTGTTTCGGGGCGAAAACAAAGGAGATGAGCTAGAAGGAGGTCGATCGCATGATAAAAATTCCTCCTCGTTGTATCGTAAAAAGTTTTTTATGCAGCTCGCGTGAAAAATAAAAGGCGGCGATAATGCATTGGAAGCGGGCGAGCAAACACTTTTACTGCCCTGGGAATCAATTTGGAAAAGGGAATTTATCGAAAATTCTCGCAAAACATGTGGTTTTTGATCAAAATTTATCCTTTCAGTCGGGGACAATTTTCTTTCTTGGGGGAGTTTGAATGTGGATGCTGCTCACGTTACCTCAGGTGAAAAGTGGATAGTCAAGAGAGACAGAGACCCCTGCTCGCAAATAGGAAGGCGAGAGAAATGTATGATTGATGCTTGGAGCGCTCTAGAGACGAGCTGTAACCAAACAGCACTCTCCGCTGGTTAAATTAAAGATTCCTATAACCGGTAGAGGAGGAGTGAAGGGCAAAGTTAAAAATTAACGTGTATTTTTTTCTCCAAGTGAAATTCTAGTTTTTAGGAATATTTTCTAACTACATGGAATCATTTTGCTGAATTTCTGTTAAGAACAATAAAGAATAACACACCATTTTGTGAAATTTATTTAATTTCTTATATAAGACTTTTGAAATAAAATTATTTTCACCGTATCAGAATTGTGTCAATTACAAAAATTGTAGTTACCGAAAAGAACTAACATGATTTTTTTTTTTTTAAATAGTTTTGATTACTTAACAATTTATTATTTTAATAGAGAATTATTTTGTTTCTTTCAGCAAGAAATTTCATAATTAATTTACACAATGTTTACTTAAATTGATGAATTGCTTCCTCTGAGAAACATATATGCAAATGAGAAAGCGGCCATACGTCGAGAGCTCTGAACGCGTTCATTATTCACTTGACGGCGGCGGCGGAAAGGATAAGGCGTGCATCTTGTGCAAATAGCACAAGAAGTGCAGTCTCGTTAATTTAATTAACGGCCGAGGTCATTAGACACGCTGAAATAATATATGCAGCTCCTCTGCCGATATACGAAGTTGCTACCAGTTGATCCTCAGCGCAAAATGCATCTTCCAGCAACAGCGTAATGGAGCGTGTGCGCCGGGAGTGCTACAAAACTAACTTTAGTCGGAGGAAACTGGCCGCATCTCCAGCAGAGGAAGTGACTGCCGGATTAATGGCCTATATTATTATGACGTGTACAAACTTTGCTTGGCGCCGCTCAAAATAATAATGGGGGCCGCAGAAGTTGGGCCTCACTAAAATTGGTGTGTTTCTCTTAAAATCTTGCGCTTTTTGGAGATATTATTCAAGTAGATGAAAACAAAGAATAAAGATGTTATTTGAATAATTTAATTTTTGTATTGCATTATTAGAGGAATTTAATTACTTTCCTTCTTGTTTGGGAATGAAGAATTTAATTTTCCTATATTTAAGACAAAATTTAATACGGAGTTAAACAAGGAATGGACAAAATATATAGCTATAAATAGACGCATATTGGAATTGAAGCCTCATCTCTACTGGAAAGTGCCAGAGCATGATGATTCCGCGTTATTTCAAAATTTATCTCTCTTTTTCTGACACTCTCACCTGCATTGGAAGCGGCGGGAGGTGTTAGTGCACGCTAAATAATTGCCGGTCGCACACGCCAATCACAGCGTCGAGCGCAAACCGCGTTTTGATTATTTCATCCAGCGGCCAACAAATGCACGCGAGCGAAAGAGAGATTTATTTCAACCCTGTTTTGTTGGCCAATTAATCTGAGCTCAAGGGCCATTGTGGCACTGGGTAATTGCCTCGGCGGCCCAAATTTATGCCAGCGTAAATTTGCTGTGTTTTTGACGTGGCCTCGTCAAAATAATGCAGCTTTTTCGGATATATTGCCTCATGATTTTGAGTAAAACACATATCCATTGCAAATTCGCAAACATTTCAATGTTATGGGTTATGGAGGAAAACAAATTTGTATAGTAAAGGATGAAGTTTTATTTAAAACTATAGGAAAAACTCATATTTTTACAGTTTTTAGAAAATTAGTCCAATGAAAAGTAATTTAAATCAGTCGGTTAATTCTATAAAATTAATGGCCTTTGTACAAATAGATTTTTATTTGCTGGATCCGGATTGGTATCCCGACTGGTATCCATTGTCGCCCCTGCCTTCTGCGCCGTCCACCTCGTCCTCCTCCTCTTCGCCCCAACTTTCGGTCCTCCGCCTGAAAGTCTCGATTTCTTGATCCACCTCGTCCAACTGCGTCGTCCAGTGGGAGCTCTGCGGAAAACACAAAAACAAAACATTTGCGGCACCTGAGTGGAGGCAATTGGAAAACTTGGCGGTTTAATTTCAACTGAATCAATAGTTGCTAACTTTATTTTTGCCTCGTCCGCCCGCCAACTTAAGCCATTCAATTGCGGCCACAGGAAATTGGTACCGCGATCAGGTCTTGTACGCATCATTAAGGCAAATTACATTTGCAATTCGCGATTCACTGACTCGAAATGGAGAAGATAGGCAACCTGCGCGGCACTCAAGTAAAACCGGTTGCCAGAAAATTATATATTTGAACATGAAACTTTTTTGCTCTCATAAATAATAAAATAATTATTTTTTAATACTTACCCAAAATCCAGACTCTTCCCTGTCGACGAGGCCACAGTCCCAGGGGTTGAGCATCGAGGTCGACGCTCTGGAACGGTGTCGCAGGGCATTGTTCTCTTTGAGCAGCCGCCTGCAGGCGTAAAAATTTAACGAACCCGTTTCATCTAGCCGGTCTCTTTCGAAACCGGACGATAGCAATTTGAGAAAGCTGCACAAAATAAACGAGCACCGGTGTGAATTTCATTGAATTGGGTGCACGTCGTTTCTAGCGTAATTTTAATGAGCGGCCGCTTTGATACTTTAGACCGGGCTAATGTTTCACCTTTTCATTTTGCGACCAACTATGCGAAAATAAAAATGAGCAGCGCTTCAAAGGGAGCAAACTTTTTAATCATCATCAGGGAAGTGCTACGCGGGTAGTTTTTAATTGGAATCAAAATTGTATTTACTCTCTTTCGGTGCGCAGCTGATGGAGTTCCATGGCGCTGGCTCGGTGCTCGGCCAGCCACTCCCTGGCCACCGCCAGAACTTGACGCGCTTCTTGGCACATTTGCGACCTTTCAGCCGCCGCCTGCTTCAGCCCGCGTACATATTTTTCTCTCTCGCTCTTCTGCCCACCGAGCTACAAAATTTACTTGTCAGGAAGCCTTCCAATTTTTCATCGCAAATGAAAATGGGAAGAATTTCTTGTGCATAAAATATTATGTAAAAGTTTTTTTTAACGTTTCATTTTGATTATAATTAGATTATTAAAATTGATAAATTTGTAGAAACTTAATATTTAAAAATTTTTATAACAATGTTGTTGATTTAATTATTTTTAATATTTCCATTTCACCATTTTCATTCAATTATACAATATATAATTTTTAATATTTTTATTCAATTAATTAATATATTTTTTAATAAATTAATAAATTTTTTGTTCCTTGTTACCAAATCTATTTATCATTTGTTTAAAATTAATAAAAACAAATATATTATATAATTTAGTTACCTGTGAAGAAAGAGTTTTGCACATATCCTCGAGTTGTTTTTGGCTCCTCTCAAGGTGTTGCTTCTCAAGCTGGGCGCTCTGCAGCTGGGTCGTCAGTTCGGCTTGCTGAGCCTGGTTAGCGAGGGCCTGGGCGCCAAGCTGAGCCCTGAGGTTGGCCGCATCGTCGGCCGCCCGCTGTCGCTCCTGCTGTGCCTGAGCGAGCAACCCTTGCAACTGCACCACCCTCTCGGTGCTAAGCATCAGTTCAGTCTCGAAGCGTCCGAGTTGCTCTTTACCCTCGTTGGCTTCGCGCTCCGCCACCTCCAGGTGCCTGTGAAGCCGTTCCACCTCCTCCTGAGCCACCTCCAATGCGAGTTGCGCCTCCTTGGTGGCCGCTTCCAACTGCAGAACGCGCTGCTCCAGCCGCTCGGCGGCCTCCGCTTTTACATTGAGCTCCACGTTCAGCTCCTGCAGGTGCTGCACGTTTTCGCAGCTCAGCCGCAGGAGCCTTTTCATCTCGTCCTCGCGGCTTTTGAACGAATTTTGTTGATAATCCATATCCTTCTTTAGTTCTTGAACCTTTTTAGTCTAGAAATGATATAATTAATTTATATGTTTTTGCGAAATAAAATTAAAAAAAATAATAATAATATTAACCTGCTCCTCAATTTGGACTGCGAATTTTTGGGCCTCGTCCTTGTCCCTCCGACCTTTCTCCGCCTCCAGGTCCAGCCGCCTCCTGCACTTCTCCACTTCGGCCACCTTCATTTCGCACCTCGCCCTCATTTCAGACAACTCTGTCTTCGCCGTGGCTAATTTATCCTTGAGATCCTCCACCTCCGCTTCAATTTTGACCATTTTTTCTACACTCACGGTCTGCGCCATAGCCTGACTAGTTTCCACCTCATGCCTGCGCCTCATTTCCTCAATCATTTTCTCTTTTTGCTCTAGATTCGTACTGATTATTTTGTACCGTTCCTTCCACAAGCTCAACTCGTCCTCGGCTCGTTTGATTTGCTCTCTGCATGTTTTGATGATTTTATTAAATAAAATTTTATCAAAGCAAAATACTTACTTGTATTCCTCATTTGGAAAACTAGCCTCCTGCCGGCCCTCGTCTTTCAAACTCTCAATCTGCATCTGCAGTTCTTCCCTGTCCCTGCAGACGTTTCTCAGTGACCCTTGCAGCTTGGCCAGGGCCGCATCCCTCCGCGACACCACCCTGAGCTGCTCCTCAGCTTCTTCGCACATTTCGTCAAGTTTCGTCCGCAGCTCAGCGATCTGCTCATTTTTCTCCCTTAACATTTTGGCACCCTCTTCCACGCAATGCTGCAGCGTTGCTATTTGCTGGGCGCAGGTCGAGTGGTCAACCTGGCTGCCGACCTGCGCCTGCAGACTTTGAATCTGCGCCTCCTTGGCGGCCAAATCTGCGCCCTTTTCCTTCACGATCTTTTCAAGTTGCAACTCGGACTCCGTCTTGTCGTTCCTGACGCGCATCACCTCCAATGAAAGGTCGCGGTTGTGCTGCTCGTAGAAGCGCAGTTGGCGCCTCGCTTCGCTCAACTGACTGGACAGCTCGTTGGTCAGGTCCAGGGAAAACTTCATTTCCTAATCAAATTTTTCAAAATTGTTTCAATATTTGATTGCACAAATAAGTTGATTCAAATTTTTTTTTCCGAACCTTCAGCAATCCTTTAGACAATGGTCTCTCTGTATGTACATGGTGATGATGATGACCACAATGAAAATACTCGCGTGGACACAATGACTTTGAAACAAATGACGCCAAAACTCATGAAAATTCAGTGTAAGGAAACTAGCGGTTAAATTTTGTTGAAAGTTCATGCAATATGCTGAAAAGTTATGCAACCTGGCCACCACTTGGCATTAACTCTGCTCAGATTGTATATAGTGATAATATTTTTTAATTATTAATTATTTTAATAATATTCTAGTCTAAAATATTTTTTATGTTGATTAATGAAATCACAAGGAATTAAATAGATGAATAAATCCACTTTAATCAATATACTCTGTTAGTCAAACAAACACAGAAAAGTTATTATTTAAAAAAAAGGGCTTAATAGAAGGAGACAGGTAAAATAAATGCAAAACAGCAGTTGTCAGCACAACACAGGAGTGTTAAATGGCAAAACATCACAAGAAGACTTTAGCTTTTTGACTCTGCCAATTTGTCTTATTTGTTGGTGTAAAATGTAAAACAACATCAAACATGGCAACAACTTTCTAGAACTTTAGTCACTTTCTCTTCTTTCCTGAGTCAGACAGGAATTCCAGGGACAGGTTAGTAGAAAAATATACAGGGTGATTAGCAGAGGAGTTAAACGTCGTGGACGGATCCTCGAGAACCAGACACTTCTGAGGCACTCACATCTGCGTGATCGCCACTCTTGTGCAGATCGTCGAGCTTATTTTTGGAGCTGACCAGCGCCTCCTGCAGCTGACCAATAAGTGTGCGTTGCTCCAAAATCTAATGTGAGGATACAAAACAGATGAAAAATGAAAAGTTACTGGTTTTAGCAAAGGGGGAAAATACTATTGACTTTCATTACCTCTTTTTCTTTGTTAAAGAGGGTGAGTTTAAGTTGGTCTGAAGACATCTTGTGAATGAGAGCCAAAGTTTGAGATCGACTTGGTCCAGCCGCAGCTTGCAGTGTCATTATGAGCTCTTCGTTTTCTTTCACCTTGGTCTCCATTTCCTCGAGGCGCCTTTGCAGCCTCAACAATTCCTGCCAACCAACATTGAACATTCAATTTTTTTGATACATTACGGATATTTTTTGAAATTATTATTTTTTACTAGCGATAATTTTAATAACCTACGACGTAATAAAATGCACGTTATTCATCGCAACAGCCGCAATTTTCACGAGCAGCAAGTGTGGTTTTGCGAAATATTTACTTCGCGCATGGCTGCGGCTGCCGCGGTGGCGTGCCGCACAGTAAATTCTAAAGTGAGCTAATTAATATTCGAGGCAAGAAGAGATGCTTGGGCAAAACTTAAAGAAATTTGAGGCCTGCTCAGTACCAAAATTTTTAAACTTTGGTGCTAAAAATGTATTACATAAATAATTATATAATAAAATTTAATCGCAAAAAGAACTTATAAAAAAATTACAATTGAAGTTTTCTTATAAAAAGGAAAGTGTCGCGAAATAAATTCACTAGCTGCATTCGCCCCTTTCTAACGCAGCTAGTTTCTCAACCCTGAGGGTCCCAGGTCAACAACCTCCCCATTTATTTAATTGTGTTTATTTTGTCGTTTAGTTTATTTAGATTTAGGAATAAAAATAGCAAGAATTTTTAATGATATTAACCTGATAATTCAATTCATGTGTAAAAAATATTTTTCCCTAGCCAGGGCCTTGTTGTGGCTGAGTCCGGAGGGGCTTGAGGCTGCTAATTAAGTTAATTAAACCTTCTTTTTAAATAAAATAGGTTTAAGTTGGAAACACTTTTGCTTCCAAATTGAGCCTATGAGTTTTAGTAAGTTGTTTACTAGAGCTGGCTGCCAATTCTCTCCCAATGTGATTTTTCTACTTTTGTTGACTTGTTGCGAGAGAATAAATGAATTGAAAATCTTAATTGTTATTTTTAATAACCTCACGTTGTATTTTTTTTAGTGTGCAGATTATTATAAATAATATTCATAACAATGCCCAAAAATTTTATTTAAATTTGCCAGCAGTTTTTAAACTGGGCCAAACTTGGCTCTGTGACTTTTTCAATTGGGAAACCCAATGGGCTTAATCAGGCCTAATTAGTAATGTTTTATTTACCTGTTCATTATTCATACTGGTCTGCTCGGCATGATCACCTGCATGTGGCGACGGTGCAATCTAGAATCAATCAGCACACATTGCTTTGCTCAGAATGCGCTTTTCTCTTCAATAAAATTTTTAATCACGAAAGGGCAACTGCACGCCCCGTGCTTATTTCTGAACTGACATGAAGTTGGACCAAGGAAGCAGACGAGAGGGGCTACTTCAAAAATAGATCTCACGCTCCCCGCCCCCAGTTTAATAGAGCCTAGGGGAGAGTGAGAAAGAACAAGGCAAGTGACTTTTGAGGAACACACTTGTGCTTCCAGCAGACAGGAAGTTGATGATGCCGATTTAAAAGGGTTAAATTCTTGCCAGCTGGTGATGATAGAAAAACTATAGCACGCTCCAGCCCACTTCAGCCAAAGAAAAATATTGATATCTGACTGTCCAGTTAATGTTTTACAGTTTCTTTGTTGAAATCCATTTTAACATGACAATCTTTTTTAACTGACTAGAAATTCAATAAATAACGTTGTAAACGTTACTATTAATAGGGCAAATCATGTCCATTTTAATTTTTATTTTTTTTATGGAAAACATCCATGCTATTTACCAAATAAATTGAAATAAATATAGTGTTTCTATCCAGATATTGGCATTAAAAAATAATAATATTTTAGGCTCAACTCACTTTTTTTTTTAATAATAAAAAATCAGACTAATTGATATCTTCCAGTTTTAACAAAGTATTTTTCACAGTATGTTCCTTTTAATAATTGCCAATAAAGTACAAAAAATATCTTCCAGAATTAAAAAAAATCAAACAGCACCAATTGAGCTTGTATAAATATTTTGCTAAATTTAATCTAATCAGCCTAAAGAGAGTGACTAGTTAGATGGATTTGAGGGTTCTAAAAGGGATAAGGGTGGCAGGTAGTGAAGGACGGTTCAGGAGAGGAACTTGGCCCGGTCACTCTGGTGCTTCTTCCGTGCTTTTTGCACCCTTGCCTTGCAAACTTGGAAACCATTATCTTCAACACAGAGTTTTAATCCTACATTAAGATCTAGTTTCAAATTTCAAACTCACTTGGTGCTCCACCACAATTTTCATAGGTTCTCCTCCTTTGTTTCCAACCTCGTCACATTCTCTTGCTGACAGAATGCTGGGCGTCGCGTAGGAAGAGTTCTAATTCAAATGCAATGAATATAAAAAGGATCAACTATTTAAACAATTTTGGTACTTTAGAGTTGGTGGCAAGCTTCAGTTTCTTGACCTCTTTGCGCAGGGACTCAATCAACAAGTTTTGGTAGTTGTTTTGGGCGTGCATCTTCTCCATCTGCTGCTGCACCTCTCTTGTCCGCTGCTCCTGCTGCAGCACCTGGTCATGCTTGGCTGCCACCTCCTGCGTCAGAGCTTTTATTTCCTCCGACTGCTTGCACACGCGCTAAAATCATGAACAAAGTCAGAAAAATAAATTCGAAAGCAACAACAAAAAATTTTTTCATACAAAAACAATTATCATTACTTTTACTCAAATTGAATCAAATTAAGCTCTGCAATGAATCCTAATTATGGGAAAAAAATTTGTAAGCAATATTAGTATTTTTAATCATATTGTAACTTTTGTGCATTGCTAGTTAGTTTTAAATACATGATTACAAAATAAATCAAAGAAGTTGAAATTAAGGGTTAATTAGGTTAAAAAAAGTAGAAAAATCCTGAAATCTGGATAATCTATTAATTAAGGGATTCATTTATAAAAACTATTCACTTTACTTTCCAAAACTAATTTAAAGGATATCAAAATGAGTTAAGAAAATAGTGAAATTTTCGTAAGTAAAATTTACTCTATTTACATAAATAATTAATTTGAGTAAAAACTCGCAAAAAAAATGACCAACCTTTTCCAGCCTTTTCCTTAGACTAGTCTCTTGAGCCAAGTCTCGAACCCTAGCATCAAGCTCCGACTGCAGCCTCGATTTCTCCAAATTCTCAGATAGCTATTTTGTATCATTAAAATCAGACTCAGTTTTAATTAAAGATGCCAAATTTTACATTTGGTCTAACAGCCTCCTCTTTTTCCAGCAGCTTGTGCCTCAAACCTTGATTGCTTGCCTCGAGAATTTCAATTTTCCTGTCAATATAAAATTTGATTAAATTCCTCTGCAACTTCATGGTGGGACAACTAACTTTTCCAGCTCATTGCACCTGAGGAGATAAGTCTTGGCAAAGTCACTGCTCTCCTGCAACCTTTTAATCAGAGGCTCTCGGATCCCCGTACTAAAAATACAAAATTAAATTAATGGAGTTTAAAAGTGGCAAACTATTGAATTTTTTGCACCCCAAATCCTCCGTCTGCTGGTTTGAAACGCTATTTCCTATTCCGGAATCGGCGTGCTGAAAATTTAGTATTAATTTTTTTTCACTAATATGAACTTGACAAGTAATACCAATTTCGTGCTGGTGAAGCGGTTGTGGTTTTGCTGCATGAAGTTGTGCGTCGTCTCGGTGGACTCGAGCAGTTTGTCCTCCAGTTTGGAGACGGATGCAGTGGCCACTTTTTCTAGCTCGAGCGTGTGCTTGCTCATGATGGCGATCGTGTCCAGCAGCTCCGACACCCATTTCTCGTACAGACTCGACTTAAGCTGTTCATATCAAATTTTATGCAATTAATTATCATCAGAAAGGATGAAGAATTTATAAATTTGAAACCTGCTCGGCCTGGTGTCCGCTGTGCTGCTCGATCTGACGCACCTCGTCGTCAATCATCCGTCTAAACTCGGAGGTCACCGAGCCCTGCTCGCTCTCCTGCCTGTCCGACGACATTCTCGATTAGAGGTCACATAGCCGATATGGGGTTACGACCACTTCCAGTGACTGACATAGCATCTGGAAGAGACGTGACTTCGCTACAAGGATCCGCGACCGACCGACGGGGACTTTCACCACACCCAGCCCACCACGACCCAACCAAAACGTATGTTGCCAATCGCAGCTGCGCACCGCACGGTTATTTAAAAAACCGGTAATATAAAGTAGAAATTATGATTATATTGGCAATAACATCCGATATCGAGTCATGATAAAATCGGATACACTTTGGCACACACTTGAAATAAATGAAATGAAATTGAATGCAAGAAAAATACGAAAAATATGGTCAATTTTAAATCTAAATCAATTGTAACAGGCAGATTCATTTACCGGTTTCATTGAAACGATTATCAATTTTCACACAAAAAACGCGCTAAAATCGCGTAGAAATGGAAAGGAAAATTTGAAGCCTTGCTAGACTGTTGAAACTTTTGTAAACTCTACATTTTGAACCAAATCGTCACCGTCACTTAAATTGAATTACTGCAAAAAGACAATTAGCCTCCCCCTTAAATTGGCAAACCACCAGATTTGTATGAACTATTTTTTCAAATTTATTTATTAAAATATATTGTGCTAACAATACTGTATTAATTATTAACTCACGTGTTTGTTATTCCATTATTTATTCTAGAATCCATCTTTATATTCCTACAGATTGAATTAGCCCGAAAAATTCAGAATAACATGGCAGCATTTAAAAAATTGTCAACAAACAACCAATTTCATATTTTATGATTGTTTGAATATTCTTCATAACAATGTAAAAAAAAACAGAACCTAAAGAAAACCATTAAAAAAAGTAATAAAACATCTTTATGGTTATTTAATGCTATACACCACAACAAACTATATAATTATACTGTAAGTGCAATTTTAATTTTGATTTAATTTATATATTTTAATACCTTTCAAAATTAAAAAAAATTTAATTGTTGCACTTTTTACTTCATTCAAATTGCTTATATTATATTAAAATTAAAAAACTATTAAGCAATTCAAAAAAAAAATCAATATGTATAGTGAGTCAACAAAAGTTAATCGCCGAGTTGGTACAAGGCGGCCACTCTTTTGTTGATCCAGTGATTCTCAGGTTTGTCACTGGGCAGCTGCACTTCCATCACCAAGTTGGTAGAGTTAAAGTCCTTTCTTACTGATAGAAAACATCTTGTTCAACTTTTTGGTGTGTGAAAATGGCGAGCAAAAATTATTTGAGTCAACAATGGAAAATGTTTCGATTGGAGTTCCACAAGGAACAGTATTGGGCCCTTTTGGCTATTCCTCCTACGGTAATGATATGCCCTTAAAAATCATTGTCGCCGCTCTTACCTTGTTCGCAGATGATTCATCTTTTATTGTAAAGGCTAGAAACTACAAAGCCTTGAACGAAAAAACTGCTGTGGCTAATGACAAAATGATTGATTTTGCCAGTAATAACCGCTTAAGATTGAACGAAAAGAAAGCTCTGGTGCTGCAAATGCATACTGCTCAAACTAGTAAATTGGAACCGCCTGTAATCAGAATTAACGACGCTGAAATTGAAGTGGTAAATCAAGCAAAAATACTTGGTGTAATGCTCTCTGATACAATGAACTGGAGCACCCAATGCGATCAGGTTGTAGCGAAACTGAGAAGTACCACGTACCTTTTTGTTAAATTAAGGCAGCGCATTCAAACTAAATTGCTAAGAGATGTATATTTCGCCCATGTTCAAAGTCACTTACTATACTCAATTGTAATTTGGGGTGGGTCGCCTATGTTGGAAAAGGTTTTCATTGCTCAAAAGAGAGTTATCCGTGCGATGGCAGGTAAAAGATACTGGAAGGCATTGACACCTGTCGAGTCTTGCCGACCACTTTTTGAAGAATTTCAGATCCTGCCAGCCTTCTCTGTGTACGCCTTTGAATGTGTTAAATTTTACAAAAAGTATCCTGAATTGTTCCTCAAAAATTCTGAAAGCAAGGTGCACCAGAATCGCAGTACTCGAAATTAACCTATAGCGGAGCAAGACTTATTTGTCAAACAAAACAGACTGTTGCTGACTGCGCAGTCCCCTCACATTATGATTTTCAATCATCTTCCCGATAGAATAAAAAACATTGATAGTTATCAAGTGTTTGAGAAGGAATTGGAATTAATATTCTACGACAAAATGTTCTATGACGTGCATGAATATTTTTTGTGTAAAATTGTGTGAACTATATTTTTAATGTATTTTAAATTTAGTAAGCTGTATTATAGTTATATTGAGATATGGCTGTATTACAGTGACCTATTCCAAAGATTATTTCTGTACAAATGTTGATCTATACGAAATCAATATTATCTGAGTCTGAATCTGAGTGGCCAGTGGTGCTCAAGATGCCACGCCGAGCTCTGGTTTTATACACTGGGCATCTGAAAATGGACCTTGGCTGGAACTCGGCCTCTATAAATATAATATTTAATCAATAAAAACATCAACTAATACAGATGAAATTATGTTTTCTAACCCTAATTCCAGGCTTCGGCCAAACAATGGGCAGTTAATCAAAGAGGACTTTGGGCGGACTCTCATCTAGCAGTCCTGTTTGCCTGTTGAAATGCGCCCCCTCCAAGAAAAGGCCCTGTGTACTCGAGATAATTATCAACTTGATTTCAGATTATCATGACTTACATTGCAGTACTACGCTCGATTCTTCAAAGTGCCCAGCAATGCTGTGGGCTTTGAGTTTGACGTCCTGGAGACAGACACTGCCAGCGATGCACCAAAAATCGGGGCCTCTGCATGACGCCGGTCAGGAAAGACTGAGTGAAGTAAAATCCAGAGATCCAGTAGACGTTGGGCGTTCGGGTGGCCTGTATTGTCTGTCTGAATGGCAACATGCTTCATATTCGGGTTGTGTTCGAGACTCTCTACAAGATATTAGAAAAATCAAAGACTATTGACAAACTCTAGGTAAAAAAAAATATTACTTAATTCAAAAAGGAGAATGACCGAGTCCTTTTCCGCTTCTTCTCTCAAATCGTCTGTTAGCTCTTGCACAGCACTGTCGCTCATTTTGAACCATTGGCCGCTTGCTGCCTTCCTTATAGCGTACCAGTGGCCACGTTGGTGACACATAGCTGCGAGCACAGTTCAAAACGCGATTCATCACTGAAATAAATAAACATTTGATTCTAAAAAAAAGAAAAATTATGAAAATCTAAATGACTTGCCAGCCAAAAATTCCAATACTAATGAAATTTGGTAGCATCACTCTCACTTTAGGAACATTAGGGTTGCGTGTGAGTCTCATGAGAATCAGTCTGCAAAATATTATGTAATAAATAAATAAATAAATAAATATAAAATAACTTAGTAAAATAAAAAAAAATACCTTGGTGCAGTCAAAAACATCTTTGAGGCATTAGTTCTTCTATGTCCGGAGCAGTGGTCGACATTTAATGAAAGCGTCTGTTGCAAGAGCTTATTGAGAGTAACAGTTTCAGAGAAATGATTAGTTTCTAAAATAAGAGTCCGCCCTTCCTCTGACTCGTCATTTATTCCGCACATGCACCTAAATAACCATTTTATTTTAATTTTATAACATGATAAAATACACTAACCATCCGCAAACTCCAACAAGGGAGAACTGGAAGAGATCTGAAATGTGTTGCCAACCCGGACACGATGAACAACATTGAATGATATGGTCAAGCAGTTCTGTGGCATCTTGGAAGGTGTTCTTAATCCACTGAAGTTCAACTTCAAGAACGCCTCTCAATTTTATCAGTTGCTTCTCCAGGAATTTGTCTTGCGTTCCTCCCATTTCTGTCAAGCAGCTTCTCAAAAGATTGAGCAATTCAGAACTTGACTCCTGACAGGCTTTTATCTCCATGGAAGCTAACTCGCTTGAAATTAATGCTTGCAACACGCTGTTAACAAAACATGTGTTGCCGATGTTGGGAAGGCTATAACAATACCGATAAATCGTAAAATCTCATAATACTAAGAAATTTTAAAATACCCTTTAACCTGTCCAGTTTGATATATGATTTTAAGAAGTTTTTGAATTTCCTCAGTCAATCGACAGATTTCTTTGGAGGAGTCGGTAGGTGCCGTGAGTTGAATCTGATTCTGTTGGGCTGAGTGAATCAGCTCCTCTAGAACATGTTTTTCTTGATTTTCCGAGACCTCTTTTCTTTGTCTCTTTCGGTCCGGCGCACCACCAACGTAAGGGCCAAATGCCAAAGCGGTTTCTGCTTTACCGACCGAGTAATCCTGGAAACAGAGATATCGATTCTTCATTGAAAATTTGGAAAATATTATTGAGAAGTTTATAAGTCCAGAGAAAGAAATGTTACTAGATTTGAATGTTGATCTTAACTCAGACAATGCGCTGATAAAATGAAATTACTGAACTTAATGGATGGCTATGAAATGTCACTTGTAAATGGAATCGAAGCTACCCGGGTTACAATCACATCAGCAACTTTGATTGATCATGTATTTAGTTCCTTAAAGTGCTCGCATACTTCCTTTGTCAGTGATGTATTTTTTAGCGACCATAGAATGGTGTCTGTTAATTTTCAAATTCCAATTGAACTCGATAGAGATTATTACAAAAATATCAGGAGATTCTCTGATAGTAACTGGACTGAATTTTTCCATCTCTTAAGTACAGAAAGTTGGACCGAAGTTTATGAAAGTAATAATATTGATGATATGTGCTGTAAATTCATGGATAAGCTTACTATGTACTTTGAAATGAGCTTCCCAAAGGAGAAAATATTAATTAGACAAATAGGAAAAAGAATGCCGATTCTGAGTTTCTTCGTAAGCAAAAGGAAGAATTAAGGCTCTTGGGTGCCCAAATATCTACACTGAAAAATAATGCTCCTAACTGTGACAGATTAAGAAGTCTTAAATTCAAATATAAAAGTAAATAGAAAAAGTACGTTGGCTTTCTCATAAATGATGCAGTCCGAACTCACAATGACCAGAAAATTGGGGGGGGGGGGGGGGTCGCCTATGTTGGAAAAGTTTTTCATTGCTCAAAAGAGAGTTATCCGTGCGATGGCAGGTAAAAGATACTGGAAGGCATTGACACCTGTCGAGTCCTGCCGACCACTTTTAGAAGAATTTCAGATCCTGCTCCGGACGGGACAAAAGGGCGGGGATCGTGAGGGAGCTCCTGCGGAGCCCCCTCACGAACACAGCCGCCCTTTTGTCCTTGCCCTCCGCACGGCCTTCCCCACGTCCTCGACCTCGCTGCGCCTCCACCCCTCGCTCGCGGCTTCTGCAAAAATTAATCTTGGGGGGTTGCCCAACTCCGAGTTGCCGGTAGTTGGGGTGTTCTGGTTCATGATGTGCATATAATTTCGCTATTTTCACTTTTTTAACATTTTCCTCTTTGTAAAATTTTAAATTTTTTGTAGTTGCTTAATATTGTATATGTCGCGCCTGTTGTAGTGGTCGATTACAAGAGGCGCGACCTACTACAGGCGTTGCGTGCATATGTCGCGCGTATTGTAGTGAACCATTACAAGAGGCGCGACATATAAAAACAACCCCCTTCCCCGTACATTTGTGGAAGGTCACGTCTTTTGCAATCAGTTAAGATTGTCTTCCCCTTCTGAACCCATCCCAAAGGCCCTTATTCTTTCCTGCAGTGCCGGTGATTGTGAGGTATAAATACCGGTTTTCTTTATCAACCACTACAGCAGGCGCGACATAAAACCACTACAGCAGGCGCGACATACCAACCTAATTTTTTAATACTGGTGTATAGGTCGCGCCTATTGTAAGATTATCAAATTTTTTTATTACTTGGATATTTTTGGAACCAAAATACGAACTATCATGAAATCAATTAATTCCAAGAGCTTAAAAATTAGCTTATCTTTCTCGGAAACGAGTAAAATGCAAAAAACCACGTTTTTTGACCTTCAATTAAACTTTTCTCAAAAATTTACGCGGTGACCCCCAAGTTTCTTGTGCCAAAATCTGTAGCCCGGTTATTAAGGAACATGATGGTGGGTCACACACTTTTGCCAAAGTTATTTTCATGTACTTCAATTACAGATAAACGATTTTTGTGAAAATTTTACATAAGCGAGCCATGTTAACTTCAAATGCGATTTGCTCAAAAATTTATGGGGTGACTCCCAATTTTCTTGTTTTCAAAATGATCCGTAAGGTCCATACTAACAGTTCTAAATAATATTTATAATAAACAATATCAATTTCAGGGCTATTTACTTTGTATGTTCTGTCTTTGTATTTTTTGATGTAATTTCTCTCTCTTGTAATCAATGCAATTTATAATATTGAATGTATGGATGATGTATTTGGGCAGAGAATGCCCGGTGGTACATTAATAAACACAATTGTAACTAAATAATAATTTTGCGATCCTAAGCTGTGGATATCCACTTTAAAATTTCCAATTGTCTTTCAACAATCGCAAAAATCTGTTTATATTGTTGTAAAGACGTGATTTGACTATGTCAATAAGAAGTCCTTAAGAATGACAAAGAGGGTGCCAAAAACTAAATAATAAAAAATGAAAAAATTATTACATTGAAAAATTCCTAAAATCAAGTATCGTTTCCAAGAAGGACACCAAACTTGCGCGCTGCAAGTTTGGTGTCCTGCCTAGTGCCTACGATGTTAAATTGTTTTCATCGAAATAATTTTGATTAAATTTTTTATTTCAAGCAGAGTAGTTTGAAATAACAATGAAGATACTCAATAATAAATAAAAATTTTATTTTACAGAAAAATTCCAAGAATCAAGGATCTTTTCCGCGTAGGAAACTTGCGCGCTGCAAGTTTGGTGTCCTACTCGGAAAAGATTGGTTGCTTGATTATTGGAATTTACAGTTAGTTATTATTTTTAAACTATATTTGGAATCTTCATTGCTATTCTAAACTACTCTGATTAAAATAAAAAAAATTATTTCGTGAATTTCGGTGAAAAATTTAAATTTCTTAAACTCGGGACATGGGAAATAACTCAGAAATAACTTTTGAAATTGTTTAAAAAAATTGCATTTACCTTATTTTTAGTTCATGTATAGAGATGCGTGGTTTCAGTTAATTACACGATTCGCGAAAGCCACAAATTCTTATTGCCACAAATACAAAACCAGGTCCTAAAATCAGCTTAAAATCAGGGGCCACGAGTGCCACGACGGTCCAGCGGAGGGCACCTGCAACAAGCATAATTACGCGTGAACAAGTTTCAAATACTCGACTAATTGAATCAGGGATTACCTGTTGATCCTTCGCGAGCCTCAAACGGCCGAAAACAGCTACCGGAGGACTGCCACAGAGGCCAAATTCGACTGCTTGCTCTTGCTTGTTGTTTGAATCTTGAAATTCTTGAATCAGTTTGAATTTGCAGCCGCTAGCGGCGCTAGCTCGCAGCTCGCAGTGTGGATCTCAGCAACAAGAGATCGCAGCGAGCGGCAAAAGGGGGCGTTTCACTCGCAACTCGCAGACGACCCTGTCACTCCCCCTTTTTCGAACGCTGATCGCCGAAAGACGGCCAAATTTTTCGACATTTGAATGGTGCCAAAAATTCTAAAATTAATTAATTTATCCGATTCTGTAGTAAAATCTGACTTAATTTTTAAAAAAACGACCCACTTATAAGAACGTTGCGTGGAAAGGTGGAAAAGTACACGCCCCTATTCGCGAATGTTTATCTCGTATCTCGTTTATCGTTTATGTATCTCAACAAAATCTCCGTGTTTCTTTTTCTTATTTAGAAATCCATTCTTATCACATATATTTCGATTTTGATCGCAGTGGTTAATGCTGATTTGTGCAATTTGGATGTAAAAATGTTGGAAGAAGATGCACCGGTTATTTATGGGCTTGAATTCCAAGTAAGTTTTATTATTTGTTTGAAAAAGTTGACACTCGAGGAGATGATTAATATTATATCACCAATATCCATTTAATTATGTATAAAAAAAATTTAGTCCATAGAATTCAATATTAAATTTAAAAAAATTCCTTTTTAAGGCTCGTGCTTTGGCGCCGCAACAGGCTGAAACAGAGGCGGTGCGATTTTATGTCGGCACTCAATCTTTGAAGTTTGACAACCAAGTTCACCGCCTAGAGTTGGACGAGGAGAGCAATATGATCAAAACAGAAATTTTCCTGCACACAGAAGGAGAAATTTGGCACATATCTTCGTCGCCAACAGACAAAAACATAATATCGACGGTCTACAATCATATATCAGGTAATTATAGTTTCAAATTTATTTACACAATCAATTTATTTGAGTGATATTAATTTTTTTAAACATCAGCAACCAACAAGACTTGCAGCAAACACACAGCTGTTTGGAAAACTACAGACGAAGCCAGTTCGTCCTCTGAAATCTGCAGTCTTAATCTTTTAACAAAACTGAACACTGCACCACTGGGTGAGGACATCAAGTGCACCTATTTTCATCCAACGGAAGAAAACAAACTTTTGACTGTGGTCGATGGAAATTTTGCCATCTGGGATCTGAACACTGCAGGCAAAACGTGTGATGTAAGGCTTGAAATTTTATAATTGACTTCAAGTAAAGGAAGTTATGAAAGGCGGCAACAAAGGGCGCCATTGAAGGAAAAGGACAGCCAAAATTTTCAACAGCAAAATGGAATCCTCATCAAGGAAAAAGTCAGTTGGCTACGGCTAATGAAATGTTTATCAGAGGCTGGGATACGAGGACTTCTCAGGAGGCTTGGGTCATCGAAAGTGCCCACAACCAACTAGTCAGGTTAATAATTTATTGCTCATTGCAATTTTTCATAAACCTTAATGTTTCAGGGATATCGATTTCAATCCGAACCGGCAGTATTTCTTGGCTAGTTGTGGTGACGACGGAAACAGTAAATTCTGGGACATTCGAAAAACCAGTTCACCAGTCGTAACAAGAGCGGACCATTCCCACTGGTTAGTAATTTTTTAATTACTTCAAATTTAATAGAACCAATTGTTTGAAGGGTGTGGTGCATCCGTTTCAACCACTTCCACGACCAACTTGTTTTGACCTCAAGTACAGATTCAAGAGTGATTTTGCTCAGCGCAGCGTCCATTTCATCTGAGCCTTATGGGCACATAGTTGAGGAAGAGTCTCCAAGCGAAGAAAAGTAATGAAAATTCCTGGTGATCAATTTTACTGGCTAATGGTATAATAGGTCTGCACCTTTGAAGGACGGCGTCTTGGCCATTTACGAAGAGCACGAAGACAGCGTGTATGCTGTGGAGTGGTCAAGCGGGGACCCTTGGACTTTCGCATCCCTGAGTTACGATGGTCGACTCATAATTAACCAGGTTCCAAAGTCAGAAAAATACAGACTACTCCTTTGAAACATTTTGAAATTTTTATTTGTGAGGTTGCATTTCGACAACATTGTGAAGCCTTACATTCCAAATAGATTTATTTTACAAAATAAAATTTTCAGATTTATTTAAATCTATTTTAAAATTTATAATACATGTCCACTCTTAAAGAATGAGATTAATTTACCTGCTTGATTCTATCAAGCTGCTCATCTTTACTCACAGACGTCGCTCGTTCTCTCACTTGCTGATAAGCTTTATAGCTTTCGAGACTCTTTCTATCCAGGGTTTCTCTTGAAAAGGCAAAAGACTTCCTGATTGCAAAAACCTGTTAACATTTTTAAAACAATTTTTTAGTTTAAAATTTTGTAAAATATGAGGGGAAAAAAGTGATTCTAAATACCTGCAGTCCGACTCCTAAACCTGTGAAAACGAAACAGGCCAGGACAATCCATTTGTTGCTGATTTTCTTCAATCCTTTGATGCCATAGTAAGGCCTATCGGCTGCCCTGTCAAAACCATGACCTGGTCGGAAGATGTTGTCGTCCTTGAAGACCTGGTAGCCGACCCCTGGGGTGTAGACGGGCGCCGCCTTCATTCGCAGATGGACGTCGTACTCGCGCCGCAGGTCCGGCTTGCTGAGGATGCTGTAGGCCTCGTTGATCTTGACGAAGTGGTTGGTTTTTGGGGAGCCGCTGGTGTCCGGGTGGTGCTGCTTGGACAGCTTGATGAAGGCGCATCGGATGTCCTGCGTCGAGCAGTCCTTTTTGAGTTCGAGGATGTCATAGTGATTCTGCGCCATCGGAAGTTGAGATCAATCCGTTGCCAGATCTAAAATGAAATGAAAATAAGTTTATATTTTAATTTTGAATGAAATTATTTTCTAAATGAAATAGAAAAATTATCTAATTATAATTTAATTATTTAAAAATTAATAAATAATTATATTGTAATTATTGCAATAATTTGATTTTTCTTGAATATCCAGAAATAAGTAATTAAAAAAAAATTACAAGCATATTGATGAATGCAAAATTTCACCCTAAAAATAAAAGAAACAAATAACATAATTTTGTTATTTTCTGCAATGATCCGAAAACCAAAAAGCTTGAGGTATATTATATATTATTTATACACAAACAAAAGTTTTCACAAGCCGAGGAACACAAAGTTTCACTCATTTGAACACCTAACCTTCAATTATGCGTTAAAATAGAAACTATTATTATCAACTCAACTCGCACACATGAATGCTGAGAACAAAGGATGCGAGAATGAAACCCACTGTTATGTAACAAGGCGCAGCATCTCTATCTTCGCACGAAATGAAGAAGTGAAGTCGATTGCTAAGGTGATTTATGTTCACGCACGAGCACAATTATTTTACATTGTCCTCTTGAAAGTGATGAACACCTCTTGCTCGCTAATAGTAATGACTAGTTTGCAAATTCCTGCCAAATCCGTAAACCACTTTCTCCGTCTCACTTCTCTTCACGCACTCGAAAGGTCACGTGACCGCGCCAGCTGATCGTAGTAAACAAAGCAGAGAGTAGTGTGTAGAGTTTCATTGACGTTTTACTTTTGCGCTTTGCAAAAAATGGGCTCAAATCCGATCGTGCAGTACGTGGTGGTGCGAGGGGACCTTTTGTCCCAACTCAAGTGGCCCGTGGGGGCCGTGCTGGCGCAGGCATGTCACGCGTGCACCGCGGTCACGCACCTTTTCTACGAGGACGAGCACATGAAGGAGTACCTCGCGGATCTCGACTCGATGCGGAAAATCGTTCTTGAGGTGTGAAAAATTGATAGCCTCCTCATATTGCTTTGATTTTATTCTTCCTTATTTTGAATTGGATTAGCTTTTCTTTCCTATGATTGATAGCATTCAATTTACTTAATTTTACAAAAGAATCAAAAGATAAAATTAATAAAATCACAACTTTATTGTTATAGTACATTGTACAATAAAAAAAGAGGGATTTGAAAATTAATTTTTATTTGGTAATGAATTAACTAAATATTTGCAATTCACATTCTACTCAATCAAGGAAATTTATAAATGCACATCGTGATTTTCTGATTAAAAATAAATAAATAAATAAATAAAGGGTTTATAGTATTAAAATCATGTAATTAAATTGGATACTCATAAAAATTAAAAGCATGTAATGACCGCAGTTTTGTTAATATTATTAACCAATTTTTAAATCAATTTTTTAATAGATTTATTCAAAAATATTTCAAAATTTCATAATATAAAAATAATATTTTTTGAATATTTGTTCTAGGCTCCGAGTGAAGATTCGCTGAAAAATCTTGCAGCTTCTTTGACAGAGGCAAATGTTCCGCACAAACTTTGGATCGAGCAGCCTGAAAACTTCCCAACTTGTCTTGCCACAAAACCATCTCCGAAGCTAAATGTCCAAGAGTATTTTAAGAAATTTAAATTGTTTAAAGGCACTGGTTAATTAATTAATTCTTCATTGTTCTCGTAAAATTATTGAATAAATAAATAAAATTGCTAATGCATTTAAATTTTAAATATATTTGATGTATAATTTCAGCTCAAACTGCTTTTAATTTGGATCAGATACTTTCTTTATAAACAATTTTTCCACCACACGCAGAAAACTGGGCGGTTGAGTAAGGTGATAATTGTCTACGCTTGCATGCATTCTTCTGCAAAATATGATATAATAATAGCAGTCGCGTGAAGTGCACGAAATGCGGGAAACGCGCTCAATGAGCGACCTGTTCCTGAATTGTGGCAAGTGCTTCTTGGCGTGCAGCTTCAAGATGAAATTCGCCACAATCTTGCAATCTGCTGCAACACAGGAAAATAATTTAGGTCCGTAAAAAATATGATACAGCATCGGAAAAGCTGAACGAAATTATTAATAAGAGCTAATTGTTCAATTAAATTAAATGTCCAATATTATTGTTACATGGGTTAACAAAAAAATTCATTTGTTTTAATTATTCTGGGTCAATTTACAAGATTTGTGAATCATTCGCATTTTTAGACCAATAAAATAAAGAGTTAGTTTTCTTTTTGTTTCTTTTATTATGTTTATTAATTTTCTTGTCAGGTTTACTTAAGGAAAAGAGAGAGGAACGACACTTAATATATTAATATTTTATCCGATGAATTGGGATGAGCGATTTAAATTTTAACTAACACAAAATTGTGTTATTTTGCGAAATTTATTTCTTTTCTTTGCGAAATATTTTATTTTTTCAATCAGAAAATTAAACTAATGAAAATATACGAAGTTTAAATGAAATTTAAACTGAATAAACTATAAAATAATATTTTATAATACGATTTGGAGAAATGAAGTATCTCTGCGTTTAGAAAGATAATGCACAAGCAGGTCTATTCTTTCGCCAACAATTTGATAAAAGCTGAAAACAAAAAAGGTCCGTTGGCCCCAGGCCCCAATTTCGAAAATTTCTCTCCCGTGAGAATTATTATCTATGACATTTACAATGGTTTCCTTATTTACAAGCGCACAATTTTCAGATTCAGCAGGGACATCAAGTCAGATCCCATATTTTAGCCGCGGCTAGATTTATACCGAGAGAGATCATTAAAATTCATTAAGGAAGTCCCAGCACGCGCTGCAGCTTTCGTTTTCTAGACCAGTGCAGAAAATGCAAATCAGATTTGATAGGCGTATTAATTAGCAGTTGAAGTGTTAATGGCATCGCTTAGCTACTCAATTAATTTCGCTTAAAATTATATCGTCACAATTGTTTCACACAATGAGATTTACGGCCTTCACCAGTATCACTTTGCAGTGGTTAGAATTTTAAGAACAATTGGCGAAATTGAGATATGGTTTCCTCTTCCGGCTCTGCTTGCACTTGCAGACTTATTAAATTTTTTTAAATAAAAAAGCATGAAAAATTTTAAGAAAAATAGCACAATTATGAAATGGCAATCTATTTTAATAATGCAACGTCATATGTTCAAGATATTTCAAAACAAAAATGCGTAACGCAAAAGTGTAATGCACATTTAATTGCTCAAAATTGCTCTGTCAGATTTTACGCACCCAGCAGGCGTCAAAACTAAATTAAGCTTAATAAGCTTATCTCCTGCCACAAGCCAGTTATGGTCCACGAGCTTGGCAAGCCGCGCAATTAATTTGCATTTTCTTTTTTTCCTTCAAAATTTTTGGTGTGGGGTTCAAGTGGCAAATTAAAAAAGGTGATTTACTCCCAAAATTTATTGCAAAAGCTAAATGAGCGTGGCGGAGGGGCGCCTTAGTATAAAATGATATTGAGAAGTGGGGCGCCTCGTCACAAGCGAGAGATCAAACGTCTGTGCTGCTTCTTTTGTACAGGAGCACCCACAATGAAGGTAAGACATATTTTATTGTACATTTTCAGCTCCTATATAGTCTTCATTAATTTCTTATCTAAAATGGAATTACCTTTAAACGGTCCATCAATCACATTATCGTGAAATAATTACTTTTATTAAATATCAATATTGCGGCTAAAATTCGCTTGATACAATACAATAAAATTTGATACTTCTTTTTATGCATTGAAAGATTTTAAAAAATAGAGTTTAACAAATTCAAGTGCTCGTTTTAACGAATTTTCAAGCATTTAATTATTCTTATTTTTTTAAAGTGATTCTTTTGGTTGTCGCACAGAACGCAGAAACACTTGATACTTTTATAATTTTGTCTTTAATTGAAAGGCTTTATATTTGTTTACCTTTTATATGTTATATTTGATTGCAAATTCTTAAGTTTATATCAGAAGACTTATTGAACGTTTTATTATTATCTTGAATATTTTTTTATACATATATTTATCAAAATTGCGTTTTTCATTCATTCAAGTCTTTTGGCAGTGTTACGCGCGCTATATATGAACCTTTTTGCAAGTCGACTGCAGCTTTTTGTAGATAGAGCAGTGCTAAGATGTAGACAAAAAGTGAAAATATCAAAGTTTAAGAGATATGTATCAATTTCCGTGCGTGACAAATTTAATTTTTGACAGTCATTGTTAAGCGCAGCAACAACTCAGCACCGCATAATAAAGAAAAACACGCACACTCGTCTCTCTTAGTTACAATAACATTAAACTCGTGTTAAAATATGACCAATTAAGTCCCTATCTGGGCTAGATTTTACTTTTTATTGCAGCGCCGAAAAGATACATAAAAAGTGCGTAATTAAATTAAATATAATACCTCTCTATAGTCGGTGTGAAAATTTCAAGTGACATTCCTGCTGTCAAACTTCTCTATGATCGAGGAAAAAGATTAGATTTTTCACTGCATGCGTTTCGAATTACTCAACTATGACCTGAATTTGGATCCGCAGGTCTTCCCATGGTTCGGGTGCCTTCTGGTGCCTCTCATGATGCCGCAAGTGTTAAGTGATGGTGAGTTAGATGGCTTCTATGATGAAGACAATGAGCAGGGTATCTACCCTCGCCAAGTTATGACGAAGTTACCCATGACCCGCGTGTCCATTTATCTTGTCTCTGACCAAGGTCATAAAAAATATAAATCAAAACGCGGCATAATGAAAAAAACAAACAAATTTCACCCAAATCTCACTATTGCTACACATTATTTTGTAAATACACACGCTCATCAAAAAAAAAAAAAAAAAAATGAAAATAAAATAATAAAATAAATTTTCATCTACTTTTTGGTAAATATTTTATGTTGACTGAGATATAATTGCAGACGCTGGTTATTCTTACGGCGTCGGACAGGGCTCTGGAAACACTTGGAATCAGAATCCAGGTGAATTTTTTTCATGCATTTTTTTTAAAGTTTTTACCTATCCCTGAAAATCAAATGTAAAGGTTCGTCTTGGTCAGGGCCTACACCGGGCCCTACTAAAGGTTGGGCTGAGCTGCCAGGGCCATCAGGAGGAAATAAGGGTTGGAACAATCAGCCTGCGCCACCAGCAGGAGGAAATAAGGGATGGAACAATCAGCCCGCGCCCCCAACAGGAGGAAATAAGGGTTGGAATGATCAGCCTGCACCCCCTGCAGGAGGTGGGGGTTGGTCTCAAAAGGGACCAGTTGGAGGCGGTTGGTCAGGCGGGGGAGGTAAATATAAATGTATATTATTGCTTTCATTTAAATCTTATATTTTGATCAATTTAGGAGGCGGCAATAAGGGTGGTTGGCCTCAGGGTGGAGGGGGAGGCTCAAAAGGTTGGCCATCAGGGGGAGGTGAGCTCAAAGTTAAAACTTAATTTCAAATACTTTTTTTACTTCCAAGTTTTTCTTCCTAGGAAATAATAAGGGATGGTCTGGAGGAGGAGGCGGTGGGGGAGGAAAGGGTTGGTCGGGTGGCGGAGGAAATCAGGGTTGGTCCGGAGGGGGAGGCAACAAGGGTGGATGGTCAGGAGGAGGTGGAGGGGGTAAGTTATAAATATATTTTTTGCAAAAATCTTTCAAACGTGGAAATTTCCATAATTTCAGGTCCGAAGGGTTGGAGCTCAGGGGGAGGTAAGGGTTGGTCCGGAGGCGGCGGTGGTAAAGGTGGTGAGTTGCGGAGGTGGCAAAAGCAGGAGGCGAATAATACCTCTATCGCTTTGTTCTGATTGCAGGAGGCGGCGGGTGGCCTTCCAAGGGCGGTGGTGATAAGGGGGGCTGGTCAGGCGGAAACGTGGGTGGAGGTATAAGACAATTTTGGAATTTTATCGTAACAAATACTAGACGTCTCCTCTCTAACGTAGGAAAGGGCTGGTCTGGGGGTGCAAATAAAGGCGGGGGTGGCGGCGGTGGTTGGTCTGCCGGAGGCGGCGGAGGAAGTAGTAAGTTTTACTAACCTTAACTAACCTCCCCAAAGGTGTAAATTATTATTATAACTCTAGCAAAAGGAGGGTGGCCGCCTGCAGGAGGAAACAAAGGCTGGCAGCAAGGAGGCAGTAAGAATTTTGTTTTTTAATTTATATATAATAGTACAACAGTAACCATTAATATGATACGCAATCTGTTTACTATAATGATTTTTAATGATTATTTAATGATATTTTATATTGTTAGAAACTGCATTTTTACATATAATTGCTTGCTAAAATTAGTTTAACAAAACTAATCAATAAATAATCCAACTCACAACTTCCTCAAAACAGACAAAGGAGGCTGGCAGCAAGGAGGAGGATCTGGCGGCGGATGGCCTTCAGGAGGTAGATTGAAATAAATTTTTTTGCTTAAGTCCACTTGACAGTTTATAATAGTAAAAAGGTATTTTAATTATATCGAAAAAGAATATTTCCGTTTCTTTAAATTTTTTTTCCAGGAAGTTTTTTTCTTCTCATTTTATGCAAACTTGTAAAAAAAAATGATGACTAATTAGAATATTTAATATACATCACAAATTTTTATATCCTCCGCAGGAAACAAGGGAGGGTGGCCACAAGGTGGTGGCGGCGGTGGCAAAGGAGGATGGCCTAGTGGCGGAAGCAAGGGTGGATGGCCGCAAGGAGGAAGTACAAATTCAAATAAACATTCTCTGCATCTAAATTTATAACTTGTTCTGGATTTTAAACGCAGATAAAGGTGGCTGGGCTCAAGGTGGAGGCGGAAACAAGGGATGGAACCAGGGAGGCGGCGGCGGCAACAGCGGTTGGCAGCGAAGAGGAGATCCCGCCTTTAGGCAGGGTTGAAGAAAAACTTTCATAAATTTCCAAAAAGACTTCTAACCTCGCGATGTTAAATTAATGAACCTTACTAATTGATTAGAGTTAATAAAATTATTGTAATAGTTATAAAAAATGTATGTGGTGCTATACGTGAATTTTATTTCTTGCATTTAAATCATTTACACATTTTCACAATTAAGTAATTATTTACAAAAAAAACAAGCATAATGCCAAGAAACATTAGGATAAACATCGCGCCATTAAAATGAAAATGACCACTTTACACATTAAAATTTTATTCAATTCACAGACACAATAGTTGACCGCCTACATAATATTTCCGCAGAATTTGGGTTTACTCAGTGCATTTCGTTTCCCACTAGAGAAGCCGTCTCTGGATCAAACTTTTCGTCTACTTTAATTGACCACATTTTTGCACGCCTTAACAATTTTGAAAATATTTCCGCGGTAATTGAATGCGACGCCTCCGATCACAATGCGATTTCAACCTTAGTTTATGACCATTCCGGAGGCCCTAAAGTTGAAAAGTATAATTATACTGATTTCAAAGTTGTCAATCAAGATTTATCAACTTTTGATTGGAATCGCTGCGTGGTTGAAAATAATCCGAATGAAACTCTAAAAAATTGCTCCACTATTATACAAAATTTAAAAGATGTAAATACTGTTCAAAAAACGATAATACACAATACTAAAAAAAGAATTGATAAACTATGGATAACACCACACCATAAAGAAATAATTAAAGAGAGAACGCGATTATATAAAAAAATGAAAAGCAATCCGACAAACAAAAAACATGCTGACGAGTATAAAAAATTTAGGAATATAGTAAATAATAAATTGCGTAATGCAGAAATTAATTTCAATCTTAAAGTTTTTAATACTTGTCAAGGCAACATTAGACTTACGTGGCAAAACTTGAATAGATTGCTTGGCCGAGCAACCTCTTCCATTGACACTACAATAACACGCTTCATGTCGAAAAAATTCTCTCTGCCGGAAATATTAGAAGGCTTTGGTAAACAATTTGCGGATGCGCCGCTAATGAGTACACATATTTGTGATTTTGAAGCGGTCAGGTCTGCGGAGCAGCGCCCGACGGCGATGCAAAGCATGCGCCTGCCGCGCGCCACATACACACAAGTCGCGGCAATTATTCAGAGTCTCAATAAAAACAAAGGCCCGGGAGTGGACGGCGTCTCTGTGCGTGATGTGCAGAGTGCTGGCTGCTCTCTCGCCAACATTATTTCCTCCGTTATAAACAAATGCATTGAAACCTCACAATATCCAAAATGTTTAAAAAGTGCAATTATTCGACCGATTTATAAAAACTCTGATCACAAAAAATTTGAAAATTATCGCCCCATCTCAATTTTGCCTGTTTTTGATAAAATCTTTGAGCGCTTTATTGAAATTAATTTGACTAAATATCTGAAAGAATTTAAAATGATTGATGAGCGACAATTTGCTTTTCAAAAAGGGAAATGTGTTAACGAGCTGTTTGGTAATTTTGCTAATTTTATCAATAAAAATTTAGGTGAAAATAAACACGTGGCGGCAATCTTTATCGACCTAAAAAAGGCATTTGACGTACTTTTGTATAAAAAATTAGCAGAAAAATTAAAGTATTTTGGTATTGATGGCCCATTCCTGCAGCTCTTAATAAGTTTCCTTTCTGATCGTATATTTTTTGTCCGTGTTAATAACGAAAACAGTGAGGAGTTTGACGTAAATTCTGGAGTTCCTCAAGGCTCAATTTTGGGTCCAATTCTGTTCCTTTTGTTTATAAATGATCTCGTGCCAATGTTAAAAAAATGCATAATATTTGTGTTTGCCGATGATATTGTAATTTTATTTGCGCATGAAAATTTTGCTATTTGTCATGATGTGATTCAGTCCGAGTTTAATATAATTACTGAATGGTGTCATGATAATGGTCTAATGATTAATGAGAAAAAGACTGTTAGTTTGCACTTTTGCCATCCAAACATTAGACTGAACAATAAATTAAACATTATCTGCCATGAATATACATGTTTACACAATTTCTCAATTGGCTGTAAATGCGGAACACTGTCGCAAGTTGAAAAAACCAAATATCTTGGTCTACACCTGGACCAGGATTTTTCGTGGAAATATCATTTACAGCACATTTCCGGCAAATTGAGAAATATTATAAGAGAGTTCAATTTTATAAAAGCGCACCTCAATCACAACACACGCAGAATAATGTATTTCTCTCTTGCCCACTCGTATTTGAACTACGGAATCCTTGCTTGGGGCTCCGCAAATTTAACTGCTGTGCGTAACTTGCAAGAAAAAGTGTTATATAAAATGTGTACTCGTAAACAAAAAAATTCAATCGATAATTTGTTCAAATTTTGGAACATAATGCCTGTCAACAAAATATATGAACTAAATGTATATTGCTTGAAATACTTTGACGAAAATCGTGGCGTGCCACGAATGCATCAATATGAAACAAGAATGTCCCAATTGGATCCTCTTGTTATGCCGCCCAGTGTAAACAAATATTTTGATCGCACATTTGAATTTTCTTTTCCCAGACTGTGGAATGCTTTACCACCAAATTTAAAAAATCTTGATTCAAAAAATTCTGTTAAATTTCATATTAAAAAATGGTTTTTGTCACTTTTGTAATATTTAGTTGACATTTTTATCTTTGTAAAAATTCGCATGTAAAATAATGTGTATAGAACTGGATTGCTCGGCTTTTAAGTCTTGCTTTCCAGTCACATAAGCACCGGCCGATAACTCCGTTTGGAGTTGGCTGGACTTGTAACTTCTTTCAAATAAATATACTTCATTTAAAAAAAAAAAAAAAAAAAAAAATTAAAGAAGAAAGAGAACAAAATCAGGCAGTTTGAACAGGTGTTTAAAAACTAAAAAATAATAATTTAATAACTGGCTTTAATGTGTGTGCTGTTGATAGAGGTCAGGGGGCAGCGAACTGGTACCAAGGGGTGAGGGTGATCCTGTCACTTGAGGGGAGGATGGTGAGTGAGGCGGCGAAAGGGACGGAGGGGCAAAGAGTTGGGAGGCGGCTGCGTAGTAGGGGGCCAGCAACGCGGGGTAGTGGTGGTGCGAAGGCGGCGTGGGGGCGGTGGGGCCAGAGACCGCAGCTGCTGCGGCGGCGGCCGCTGCTGCAAAGTAGTGGGCCGGAAAGAGGCCCTGCCGCTGGGCCATCTTGAGTCGCGAGGTCAGCTGCTTCTTCCACTTGGTGCGCCGGTTTTGGAACCAAGTCTTGATTTGCACTTCGGTCAGGTGAAGCGCCTTCGACAGCTCTAGCCTTTTGCTCACACTTAAATACTTGTCAATCTGCAATGTGGAAGACAGAAGAATTCAAATGAATAATCATTGCAATAATGTTTCCTGTTCACAAGTTAGCATTGAATTTCTTGTATTGTTATTTTTTTAATTCAAATTAAATTTTTAGAAAATAACAAAAAAAAATGTGTTCTTTTTTAATTTGCCAGAATTTTATTTATTAAAAAATTAAAAAACTTTTTTTCCAATTCAGTAAGAATAATTTTAAAAGTAGAATTTTTACCTTAAATTCTGTCTCAAGTCTCTCAAGTTGTTTGGCACTGTAAGCCTGGCGAGGTTTTCTGTCAATTCCGGGTTTCCGAGATCTCCTACCCACAGGCTTTGGAGCTGAAATATAAATTGAACAAAATTTTTTAAAATTTTTGTCAATCCATTTATTTCCCGATTTGAATTATTTCTTTTAAATTATTTATATTCTAGTAAGTTGGAGGTAAGATGTTCTTATAAAATAAATTAAACTCAATTAATTTTGTGTCGTCTGTTCAGTTTACAACTATTGAAGAGGAGCATAATTAGCAGGTTTGGAAATAATTGTCGCAAACATGAAATAAGACCATTTAATACATGTGTCGCCAGTATGATTGCTCGCTCCACTGCACAAACTCGCGACAATTAACGGTGACAATTGTGATGGCAAACTCGAGGACTGCCTTGTGTGTGCTCTTCTCGCGGGAAACCGAGCTGAGCATTATACAGAAAAGCTATACGGGTCCCATAGATGCTAATTGCCGCGGCAAACACCAATCCAAAAGAGCTAGGTGACATTTTCTCACTTTCCAAGTCGTGCTTATATATAAAAATGGACCTTCTTGGACGAGAGAGTCTCCCGAGAGTGTGAAAACGCGGCCGAATAAAGGAAGGAGAATTCCTTTAAAAATTCCTGCTTTTTCAAAACGACACTCTGCGCCGAGAGTGTATATCTTTTTAAGAGTTGTTACTGCTGAGCATATATTTAGATAGGATTATTTGGCGATGCTGTCTCATGTTATATTCTCGCGCTTCAATGAAATGCACCTTGTGTGTGTGTTTGATGAGGACGAATACGTGCGGCTGTAAAACCATCATTTCCAACGACAAAAGACCAAGAATTTCTCCCAGCACGCGGAAAAGCACCCGACTCAAAAAGGGACCATTTAGCACTTCGGGACGGATTCATTTTTTGTTTGTTTGTACACACCACAGCGCCGTGTTTGCGCGCAGGTACTGCGTTTAATCTAAAGCTGTTCTCTGAAATGTGCACTAAACCCTTTCCGGCGTCCAATGCGGAATTTCGTAATGTAATTTGCTCCTCTGTTTTATTTGAAGTGCCCAGCATGACAAAAAAATTAAAATATATGTAAATTAAATAAAAAAAATTTTAGGTAATGGCGTCCCTATCTAAAAGCTAAAAAACCTAAACTAAAGAAACTAATTGAAAAGAAAAAAAAAATGTGTAATTGTTGGAAAAACTACAATTTATTAATATCGTTAAGGGAGTGAAAAAAATAAATTATAGCGATTAAAATTTAGGTTAAAGAGTTTTCTTCATACAATTTTTTTTATAGAGAAATGAACCGTAAAAAAATCATGAACTTAGTAATTTATGTCAAAAATAATTGATATTGCATAATAAAAAAAGTATCATGAACTTTAGAGCATAAATATCGCGCATTTCCCTTATTGTCAAAATTGTGTTTAATCCATTTCTGAAGAGATTGGATTTTCATTTTTTTGTTTTAAATTGAAATTTTTTGCACAACTTTGTCATTTATTATAAAAATAGCAACTTGCGCGATTTCGTTTACTCAAAATTTTAGTTTATAACTTTATAACAAGAAAAAAAACTTGAGGTGTGTATTTTGAAACCAAAAAAAGTGACCTTTACTTCTTGTGAGATGTTTATAAATTGTGCTTATTGAAAAAAATCGGGGTTGAAAATTGAACTCTGTTGCAAGAAGAAGCATATTTCATTCCGTGCACTTATAAAAAAAAATCTTCAAACATAAAAAGTTAAGGATATTACTGAAAATATAAAAGACTTTCTCAAATAAAGAGGACATAAAAACTTCTCTTTTCCTGAAACGGAACAAGAATAACATTTTTTTTTTTATCTATTTTTTATATTTTCAGTGCTGATTATGCATAAAGTGTTCCCTGCTTAAGATTTGAAGTTGGATTCTATAAAAATTTTGGAAACAAAATGTTGCAATACACCATTTAATGCCCGACAAATGTTTGCCAATCTATAGCCTATATGTTTTGAGTTTTGAGGCGGTTCTCTCGAAAAGAAGTTTGATGTTTTTTGATGCGATCAATTAAATATCATTTAAAAAATTTTGGCCTGCATTTATTAATTGATCTTGAGAGGTTTAAGTGATAGTTAATTCCTTTATTTTGTGAAAGAAGTTTGCACAGTTTTTGTGTGTGCCGACTTGCACATCTTGTTTGCGTTATTGTATTAGTTTCAGTTATAAGTTATTCAAAGAGAAATCTAAGAAATCTAATTTTCGTCTTCTGAAATTGAGCGCGACAAAATCCAATTGCTTTAAAACGAATTCAGGTGACAATGTTGTAACTGGAAAATTAATTTCAGAAGTTATAGAAATCTATAGATCTGCATTGGCATCGAGAAACTTGAGTTAGACAATAACTTAAACCATTTTCAAGGCAATGGCATATTTTTTCGCGCTCAGTTTCCCGAAATCCGCATGAAATGCATCTCTGGATATTGAGGTTTTTCAAAAGAAAATGGTCAAAAGGGTAAAATAATTATGAGACAATATTGGGAAAATTAATTTCTTACCTTGGAGACCAAACAGCTGTCCAGGGTGTTTGGCCGAGAGCCACCCTCCGTAGAGCAGGGCAGGATAGGCTGGCGGGTAGGGCACGGAGGATCCGGCCGAAGCGCCAAACAGGGTCGGAAGGGCGCTCTGTCCAAAGTCGAAGGCGGCGGGGTTGCTGGGGGTGGGCCTGAGGACCTTTGGGGGTGGCGGCGAGGGCTCCTTGCCGAGACCCAGGATGCGCTCGATGGAGAATCGGGCGGGCGCGGAGGCCACGGGCGACTCTGGCCGCGACTCGGGAGACTCGGAGTCCACTTCGGACGGCGCACCCTCCATCGCGAGCGGCGCCGAGGGGATGAGTGTGCCGCTGCGTTGAAATCGCCGGCCCGCGCGGGGGTGCGCGGGGCGGGGCCTCGCGCCTCTTAACAGGTAGGTGCGAAATTCGCGTGCCAGCCCATTGGACAATTTGACGGACGACGCCAAACAGCTCTTACTTCGCCGCGGTGCGCGAATTGCGCTTTCAGTGCGTGTGCTCATTGCGCGGCAATTGACAGTGTTTGCCTGCTAATCGGTTCGGACTCGCATTGCCTTTTGCCCTAAGCATATTTAGAGGTCGACCAATAATTTATTGGTTCAAACCAATCAAATGTTTTGATAATTATTTTCAATATTTATTTTCAACTTTACTTTCTACTGATAAAATTAATTTATTTAGAGCTATTACAATAAAGCCTTTGGAAAAAACAGTTAACTCAATGAAAAAGATGAATGAATTTGCCAAGCATAAAAATGTATTCTCCGAATTTATTTTGTGATAACAGAAGTGCAGAAGAAAAATTAGGACCCTAAATTGTGATCCAGGCCAGTTATGCTTTGCTAACTTCATTGAGGAATTTTTAAAAAATTAACCTAATAATTAAGTTAGCAAAGGACAAAAAAATTTCTCTTCAATTTTTGCACTATATTGCAAACAGTGTACTTTGCAATTAGTAATTACACCGAGGTGACACCTCATAAGTCAATAAGGGTTCATAATATTACTAAAATTTATGCCACATATTGATAAAAATTATTATTAATTTAAATTTTGACACTTTTCCCCCCTTTTAGAATAGCAATAGTTTCTGTATATTAATTTTCTTAAACTATAAAAGTTAAATGAAGTTAAGTGATATTGAAGTTTTATAAAATAAATATTATAAATTTAATAAATAAATTATTATTATTATCTTTTTTCAATGATCCATGAAAGGTGAGCGCAAATGCAAAAAGTATATTCAAGTAAAATAAAATTAATTACCAAGATACTGTTTATCTTTTTATTCTTAAAGATATTTGGAATTTTGTATTTTCCCCCTACTATTTCTAGGAATCGTGATTCAAAAGCAACAAAAGTTGCAACAGCGAGGCACCCTGCACGAAAACTGCGCGCACTTATTACAAAATCCCTGTCTTGCTCATCAGACAGGAAACTACTTGAGGGAATTTTGTCAACAAAAGTTCATCGCACCTGACAAAGGGTAGTAAACCAGTCAGGGTCTGTGCGGTAAGTGTAAAAATATAAATCCTGGCGCCGAAACTCTCTCAGCCTCTTTTCGAATCAGTCAGATGGGATTGTGAGAGGGACCCTCACAATCAGTCGCGCCGTGGGGCGCGTCAGCTCCTTCGCTTCCACACGTTCTGCAGGTAAATCTGGGGGGAAAATGCATACTGGTCTTTTAGGGAAACCTCTCCAGATGCATTGTTAAAACTGAAATTGTAAAAAAGAAACGCGTTCTTTTGGATACTAAAAAAACCAATTTATGCTGAGACCACCAAACATGAAAGAAATTTCCCAGCAGTTTCAAATGAAAACTTCTACTTTGCGCGTTTTCTGAGAAAGATGTTAAGAGTGGCGCGGTTCATGGGAAAGTATTTATCTCAAGTGTAAACAATTTAAAAGAAAATTTGGTGGCTTTGGGGAGTTTTCAAATGTAGAAAGATATGCCATGATGAGATTAAAAACTAGTTTATAAATCATTGGTCAGCTTCTCAAATTAAATTATGTTATAAAAAGTTATCGAAGTGAAGAACTAGGCTTTTTCCTCGTTGTAAAAAATTGTTTTTCTTCAAAAACAAATGGCTCTACCAGTTTCGGTCACAGTTTGCGACCCTATTTCATGAGCAAGAAAAAAATATAAAAATCAGCAAATTGAAAAACAACATTTTTAACAAAAAAATTCCAAATCTTTTGCTATTAAGGAATGAAGTTTATGTTAGTCCCTGTTGAAAAAAACAAAATTTTTATAATATATCAACCAATTTTCTAAAATTTAGGACATTTTCTTTAAATTCAATTAGGACAAAATTTTTAGGACAACGTGCGACCATAGCTTTTAGGACATTATCTTTAGCATATTTTCTTTAGGACATTCTCTGTTAGTACATTGTCTTTAACCTCAATTTAGGACATTTTCTTTAGGACATTATGATGGTACCCCTTAAAACTAACAAATTCAAGTACAAACATGATTTGGATTTTTTTTTGTTAAAAATGTAGTTTTTCAATTTGCTGATTTTATTTTTTTATTTTTCTTGCTCATGAAATAGGGTCGCAGATCGTGACCAAAGCTGGTAGAGCCATTTGTTTTTGAATTAAAATAAAACGGGGAAAAAGCACTTCCATGATCATGCATCTCCTCGAGTGTAAATTTCATCAAACAAAAAAAGTTATCAACTTTAAAAGACATGAAGGCAGATAATTTTTTCCATTTGCCTCGACTTATTTCTAAAAATTTAAATCCATCTCAAAACTCTAAAGAGAAACCTTGGGGGCCCCGCGAGAATCACGCTTATGGTTGGTGCTGGCGTGTGAGCCAACCACGCGCGGTGTGAATCTGTCGCTTGTAATTAGTGCTGTCAATTGTTCCATCCTAACAAAAAGTGCCCACATTATGAAGCGTATAATGCGTTTAGCGCTGTTCTATGCCCGCGGGCTAGTCACTTAGCACCTCGCCGACGCTTTTCATATTGACCAATTAATTGGCAGTCGCGGCATCGTCGCTGTTAGGACTCTTTTGTCCGTGACAATGGTTTGCGCTTCAAACTTGGGCAATTGGTTTGCCGCGATGGTTAGGATATCATTAATGAAGAGCAAAATGAAAAATAAATTTCGCAAACGATTTCAAGGACGTCCTCAATTTTGCCAAAAAGTATTTTAATGTAATTTAATTATTAATTCTGTATTATTTTTGTCCAGTATAAATTGAAAGCACCTCAAGTGTTACCATTCAATTTTTAAAATTTATTGTTTATCAAAGTATTGATATTAGTCAATCCCCTTTAGTCAATTTTCCATAAATTTAATTTATTTTTTCCCGAACAAATCTCATGTGAGATTTATTTTGAAAAATTTAGGAATTGCACTGCATTAGTTAAAATTTTTATTTAAAATTTAAATGTTTGTTTCCCTGGCACAGTTTTGCATCAAAAAGCAGTCCATCTATATTCTTTAGGGAGGCCTTGTTGGATTAAAAAATAATTAAGTGGAAAGGAGCATGACGTGGTTGGATTAGGGACGATCGAATTTCTCTTTCAAACACATTTATAAATGGGTTCGATATCAGCGCGGAAAAAGAGGGTGCAACCTTTCACGCGCAGGGGGCGATATGGAGCAATTTGTTTAAACGAACCATAAGGCGGCCAATTACGCACGCGGGCGAGCTGCACGCTTTGTTCAGCAGGCTCGTTAAATAATGGATATCGTACTCTTTCCAGAGTGGTGAGATGAGATCGAGTTTCGGTCCGAAGGCTGGGAAGACGGCGTGTCTTTTGCACCTGTGGCGAGAGCGGGCGAAAGCAACCAGCAGCACCCCCGACCGATAAATCACCACACCGAATGTATACTGCTTATGTGTTATTATCCACTCAGAGAGCAAACCAACCGTGTGCGTCTATAATACAAGCACTTATATTGCATTAGCTGAACATAAAAAGCCCCATTAGTGCTGCTGGCTGCTGCAAAACTCGCCATCAAACCAAATAAAACATGTATCTCATCCGAAATTTTGCTCACACTGACAATTTGTTTTAAAAGAATTCCAGCATCAAATTTCAGTTGTTTGTCCCGCTTCAGATTTCAGATGGATGTTTCCCAGAATAATTAATTGGCTTGTATTACGCCGTTTTACTGAAATAATTTGACGATTTCCATAATATATTCAAAGCCTCCTTTAGGAAAATTTTAGTCTTTTTCTTTAAATTTGTGTCAGGGGAGATTTTATGATGAGGCAAATGATTGCAAGTTTTTAAATTTTGCCGTTTTGGTCAACTTTGTAGAAATATTAATTGTTTTCCTTGTGACCAAACTTCTAAAAAGGATTGCGTTGGGAGTCGGGAGATATTTTATTGTTATTGTATATAGTTGTAATACCATATGCCGTAAGTCAATAAATTTGATAGAATTTATAATAATATCACGTTTAAACGCTTTTGTCATTTATTTTTAAAAATACTCTAAACTAATTCGTATTCTCAAGTTATTAATCTATTGCATTAAAGCTCTGCTTGAAATTAATAAATAAATAAAAATCGTATTCAAATCGTATTTTTCACAAGGAAATAGAGATTTTGAATTAATAGAAATAAGAATTCAGTTTATAAAAAGATTGAAAAGGAAAAAAAATCAGAAAGGAAAAACACTCCCGGAAGTTCCGCATGCATAGCTTTACGTGATAATGATTGGGTGTTACAAGTAAAATGTAAAACTCGTATAAACTGCCAGAACGAAAAATGATCGCCGCAACGCAAAATTTGTTCACGCTGTTATTAATTTTGGAGACACTTTATTTTTCAGCATCTGGTTATAATCGTGAGCTAAAAATTCTTAAAAATTAAGCAACAACTATGTCTTGTCTTTGCAGGGACGAAATTGCCCCTCTGTCCTTTGGTTGAGGATAATTGCTATTTGCAACCCAGTATATTGTGCTTTTGCAAATCGACCGGAAAGGACACATTATTAGAACGCAACGCACGCACTGGCTTTTTGAATCTGTACGACAGCACTAGTGAGAAATTTTCATTTGTTTAATTTCTTTGCTTGATATTAAAATATTGTATGTGATCATTAATAAGATGGTGCGCTAATTTGCCCCCGGAAAAAAAGAGACGAGTGTTCAAAAAGATGCAACCTTAGAGGTAAATGCTTGTCCAAGTTCAGGAAGGATACCTGCGCTTCTATTTTAGGAATCACAATCATTGGAGAACCGATCAGTCCTAATGGTAATTTAAAAACTTTTTAAATATAGAAAGTTTTTAGATTGAAAATTTAGTTGCAAATTATTTAGGTGCAGGTTTGCGTCCAGACGTGTGTCCAACTGACCTGACCAAGTGCCACCATTGTGGCTCTACATTGCCGTGCTATTGCCCGACCCTTCAGAAGAACATCAGCATCAGATGCAGTTACCTTGGCTTCCTTGACCTATTCGACCCCAATAGTGAGTTTTAGTCGAAGCATAAGTTGATAGTAAATAATTTCAGTGTTCAATTTTTAATCAGGCGGCCTTCCTTATTGCATGACAAGCAACGTAACAACAGATTGCTCTAAAATTTGGTTCAGCAAAATAGCTTGGTGCCAAGATCTGTTCTTTGATTCCCATTTGTTTACACCTCTTAATAATGGTGTCGCAAATTCAACACCCTGGACAATCCTTTCCACCAGCAACAACAATGTTAATATAGCTGAAAATCCAGTATCTGACAGTGTCACAGAGGAGCATCCTATTGATAAAGGCAACATGATGATTTACATTGGAGCCGCAATTGGGATTCTAGTCACAGGGGCCGCTGTTTCTGTTGCCTATTTTATGTGGCGGAAACGGAAAAGATCAGCAGAAAATGAACAAACTATGGAGGAGGAAAACGAAATGTATGGTGTGTTTCCTGGAAGAAACATGACGGCACCGATAATCAATGTCACAAGTACGAAGGAACAAGAGAGGGTGACACAGCCTATCATTAATAATGAGTTTGAGGAGGAGAACGAACTCTATGGCACTTTCAACTAGCCAAACTGTAGTCAAATTTACAAAATTAGAATATAGGCAAATTTATTAAACAATTAAGTCAAATTTGAACCACTTTACAGGAGAAGAAATACAAAACATAAATCATTTATTAATTTTTTGAATAAGACCAAAAAATTTAATGATATATAACTTATTATTTACTACGTTCAAACGATTTTGCTTTGTAAAAAAGTATATTATCTTCAAATTAAATGAAAGTAAAATTTTGAGTTCAATAACGCTTTATAATTAAGGATTATAAGATCTCGTTATATTTCTAATATGGATTTTAAATATTGTTAGCTTAATTATTTTATACGGTCGGTTTTTTATTATTTATTCTTCAGGTCCAGTGTTTGGGAAGCATATAAGCAAAATTAAAAAATATACAATGTTTATAATTCAATATTTTTTGTCCCGGGTTTTTAACATTTCTTTGTGTAAAAATATTATTATTATTATTATTGAATCCGTGTGAATTAATCAATAAGTTTGTAAATTTAAGGTAAAAATTCTTATTACACGATAATGAAATTATATAGATCACTATTTTAGCTTTGTGCAATTGAGGAAATAATTATTTTTCCGTTTTTTTTTTTTTGTAAGTTAGTGCACACTGACTCAGCTCGCACCTTGGCTGTGTCTCAAATTTGATTGCGTGCCTTCTACTCTCTTCAAAGAATGACACAAGGGTGGCGAGCCCTAATTAATCCGCGGCAAATTTCACCCGTCGCCATTGTTTGCACAGAAAACGCAGCAGAGAGTGCGTGAAAAAGAGAAGTGCTTCAAGGTGTACAGTGCGCGATATAGGCGAGAGATGATGATGATGGTGATGAAGCTTTAGCAAAGTGTTGCTGCCGCTGCGGCGGAGTGAGCTCCATATTTCATGCTCACGGTGTGCGTGTTGAAACGAACTTTTACCTCTATAAATCCCACAACCCTCTCTTACTACATCATTTACTGCCCATGGCAGGATGGATTTGAGGGAGATCGGCCTAGCGAGAAAAACGGATGCACCAAAGTCTTCAATATTTAAATAATTGTAAAACCAAATATCTGTTAACTTTAAAAATATCTTCCATTTAAAAAAATTGGAGCAAATTTTGTTTTGGAATTTATTAAATTTCTTTGTTGTATCTTAATAAATAAAATTTTTTATGTAATAACAATTAATACAATATTTGCTTCTGATTTTTAAATTCATATTTATATATTTTTTTTTTTAATCATAAGGTTCTTCCAATTTATCAGTTGGTTTCACCTGCATAGTGGTGCGAGCCTTGGACCGAGGCGCGAACTGCTCCTAATGTGTTCAGTAAACGGATGGATGCTGTAAGGAGCAGAAAAAGAGGCCATTTGCGCAGAAATTCGCAGGTGCTCGCGCTTCCCACGCCCTCACCTCTCTCAAACAGCCCCTTTTACAATGTGTATTATTAGTTTTGTGGCACCCCCTGGGTTAATGGTGCTTTCCCGTGATTTCAACGTGCGCCGAGCTTCGTTTTGCTCTCTCTTATTACCACGGTGCGATCGTCCATTAATCATCTCGCTCGCGAGAGCACTCTTAAACTGCGCCCGCCCCTGTCACGCAACATCAATTTTGGTGCGCTATGAATTGCACTTTCAGCCTCAATTTCATGTAAATAAATTTGAAACGGATAACGGAATAATTATTTTTGAATCATCTTAAAGCGTTGATTAATAATAATAAAAAGTTTTAAGCGCCTGCGAATCTGAATCACATTACATTGCCAGATAAATTTTTTTTGCCCTGTTAAATAATAAGTCTTGCAATTATATTTCACTAGTAAAAAATTGCAGGAATTTCATTAAATTTAAAAAAAAAATTGTATGCATCTTTATTGGCAATATTTGTCACCTTCCAAGTCCCTTTTTTGTGCATATAAATGACTTGTTTCACAAAATTGGCACAATATTTAATTTTCGGTTCATGGTAATAAGTAATTTTTAAAATAAAAAGATTTTGAATTAATTTGTAACATTCAAAACTATGAGGAGTGAAAGAAAAGGAAGGATATTAAAAGACTCTGGCTTACTTTGCAAGTTGACCCGTCCAAGATATTTTATTCTTCACCAAGTGAGGACAAGTGGTGCTGCTGGAAGTACTGCCAGACAAAGAGGGCACCAGTGACGTGGACATTCAAAGACCGGATCACACCCATTTGTGGAATTTCCACGCAAACGTCCAGATACGGCAGTAATTCTGCTGGAATTCCTTCTTTCTCATTCCTAGGGCATGTAAACCTTTAGTACCGCAATTTTAATTTGTACGCAATTCTTACCCAAGCAAAACTAAGGTTTTTTTGTCAAACTTGACGCTCTGCAGTGGCACACTTTTCGAAGTTTGCTCGGCTGCCATCAAAGTGTACCCTTGCTTCTTCATCAAACATAGATAGCTGACCAAATTCTCAGGTTTTACCTACAGAGTGTGCTATTAGAAATTAACAACCTTTAAAATAATAATCAATTACCTCTGACAAGTTGATCCATTTTTCTGCAGTGACGCTTAAACTTTGAAACGCAAGTTCATCAACAATCTTCAGGTTGCCAATGATCAGCTCAGAGGCACCAAATATCTCGCAGGTTCTACTGAGTCCTCCCAAATTGGGTGCTTTGTCCACCAGAGAGGCAACAATGACTAATCCACCCTGTAAATATGTAAATGAATTCATCAAAGCAAATAAAAGATTATGTTCGCTGTTTTACCAAATTTGGTGTCCGAGTTTCTCGTGTGTTACTTTCTGCAAACATATCACTCCAAGGGGTGACCTTTCTCTGTACAATCGAATATGAATGCTCCTCTTGATCTTCAATGTCAGCTATAGCACCTTCAAAAGTAATCTCTCTCAGCTTTGGTTCGGGAATTGCAATTAATTTTATTACCTGTGGCTTTCAAGATCCAGTTTGCCACTTTTGCATGTTTAAGATCTTCATCTTCATTGATGAGTTTAAACGCAACTTTAGTTTCATCGAGCTTGAAAAATTTATCAGGAAGCCACTCGTCCTGGCCCACATTTGTCAGCCTAGGGAACTCAACGAGGATTGTCTAGAGTGTAAAAATGTTAATAATTTTTAGAGTAGGCTTCAAAATATGTTTTAATTACTTCCAAGGACAAATGTGCCACAGGATCAAAGACACTGAATAAGAAATCTTCCTGCAGTTTGATAGCATTTTTCACACCACTGGATTGTTCGATGCTAGATTTAACGCTGGATTGGAGAGTTGAGAAGAACGAAAGTACGTCTGTTAGCTGCCTCTTTTCACAAAGAGCAAATATTCGCAAAAGAGCAACCTAAATATACTTTTAATCAGAACAAAGTGAAGTGTTTAGGGTGTATTTCATACTTGAGCGTAAAGACGAATGTTGTAATTTTGCGCCATGCACCAAGGTAGCAAAATTTCAATAATTTTATGCAAAACATGTATCAGCTCAGATGTCCTACATTCATCATTTGCCAGTGCTAAGGTCCAGAGGTACAAAATCGATATAAAAGACGGAATGCTACTAAGCCGTCTACTCGAAGCCTGTAATAAAACACTAAGAAAATTGCGGCTGACAGAAATTTTCAACCACCTCTTGAAGCTCTTTAAAAAATTTGTCACCAACATCTTCATTCCGTGTCAGAATAATGGAAGCAAGCCATTCGATCAGGTATCTGACGCTCGGCTGGTGATTCTCATTTCCGAGACTAGCGGTCGCCCATTGCAGAATTTTAACTTGCATAGGTTCCTGCAAATTGAAAAATTAGATTTCGGCAATGAATAAAATGCCAAGGAGTTACATTTTTCGAAGAGCAACTGATGAGCAGCAAAGATTGGGCAATTCTGTGCTTGGTTCTGTGCACATGGGAGTCGGCAAAGTAGCGGAGTTTTTTATTTCTGCTCAGCTCCGTGTCCTTCTCAATCAACCACGCGGCAACTGGTGCGAGGTCTTGATTAGTTGTTAGTAGGTATTGCACAGCCTTTGCTCTAACTTGTTGACTAGCGTCGCAATTGCTTTTTTAGAAAAAAAAAATAAATAAAATTCAATGAAAAAAATTAAGAATAAAATATTCTCACTTTTCAACTAATTTGTTGGCTGGAATTTCATCTCCATTGGAGGTTATGATTTGGCAAACACTGTTCAAAATTTTTTGATCTTTTCTGAGGGAAGGTCCAAAAAGAAGAGCGAAACCAAGTTGGTTGCAAAAAGTGGGACAAGGTGCAACGTCATGTTGGAGAAAATTATCAACAACCAGATTGAAAAGACCGGCCACAATTTGGCTTTGCTGATATAATTTTTCAGTAAGCTATAAAATAGAAATTAGTTAGAAAATTGAAATTAAACATTGGAACAAATTTACCTGCAGCAAACAATCATTTAGGTCACTTCTCTCCAAAATGCAAGGGTTGAAGGCCATTTTTATGAATGCTTTAATGGACAGCCAGAAGAGTTCAGACTTTCGGTGCTCAAAGCACTTCAGATATGTCCGCTCCAGGATATTTTCAACACGGGCTGGCTCCTTCTCCCTGTGGAGGAAATACCTCAGGCACGCCATTACTTGTGAGAGTGTTTCTGGCCCACTGCTTTCAACCGCATCCTCGGCCAGATCCAAAATCGTTTCTTGCGCAACTGATTTTCGAAACGTCTCCTCCGTTTCAAGCAAAGCAAAAAGCGAGCTCCAGTTGGCTGTGAGAATTCCAGAGACGGTTCTGTTTCTTTGATCCCTCTGCTCTGCTGACTTTGGCAAGTCAGTGTGGTTAACTGAGTTCAATGTTCCAAGTTTAGTCATTTTTGAGATTGAATCAATAAGAAGCTCTCGGATATCATTAGACCTTAAAAAAAATAGAGGTTTGTAATAAAAGCTGGAATTTAAAGTAATTTAATTTACCTTTTTATCTGCGGTGATTGACAAGAATTTTGAATAACTTGGGCAGCAAAGTATTTAGCCTCCAATGACTTTTCACCAGTTTCAAAAATTTGATTCGCTGTAATTATCAGTTCCTTGAAGTCAACAAGCCGAGCAACTTCTGGCTTTTCAAATATCTTGAGGCTATTGATGTAAATTTTAATTAGGCTCAAGTCCTCAACGTCCGCTCCCTTCAGCTTCCGGTGCAAATAGCCGAACAATCCCTCTAGAGATTTTGGTCCTACAAGCTTTGACAAAATCGTTTCTTCCCATTTTTCTTGCCTGCCACTCTCATCAAGAATGTGCACCAAAAGTTCCAAAAGGGCATCAACTGCGTTTGGGCCTCCACTTGAAACATAGTAAGCCCTAGTTTCCAGTTCGGTCAGACGCCACTTGAATTCCAACGCCAACTGGTCAATTTCCTCTTGTCTCAAAAGTCCAGCATCACTCAAAATCACCAAGTACCGAGCAGCAGCTTTGGCGGAAGATTTGAAAATGAACTCTCTAGATTTGAACTGGACTTCTGCAGTTTTTTGCACAAATTCAATTGTCAGCTGCCAGTCATTGAGGCCCCGAGCCATCGACTCTTTTCTGTTGAATGAAGCCAATAAATCCAGCCAAGACTCTTGATTGACCTTCGAAGCGTCCACCAAACTGAAGGCGGCTCTGAGAAGCACAGATTGGGCTGCAGCCCTGAGGAAGACATTCTGCGTCGACATGGCGTCCACGAGGAAAGACTTCAGCAGCTTCAAGTCTTCTGAATCCCAGGCGTCCAGTTTCGGCAAATTTCCGAGCGATTTGCAAATTAGGAAAAGAGGCACCGGCCCCCACGAGATGGCCCTGACCGCAAGTAGGAGGCTTTTGAACATCACCCTCTCTCCTTCCGAGGCGCACTTTTTGACAAAATCTTCCAATCTGTCTGATAAATCAGAATCATGAAAGAGAGGCGTGTTGTCTAGGGCAGGGATCACTATCTCGATGAAAAATTCTGCAGAACCTGACGTCCATGGGTGGTTAAAGAAAAATTCCAGGCCCCATTTAATGATGTGGTTGTTGTCGTGGTTGATTACTTGCTGCAGGGCCACAAAGGCCCATTCTAAACACATTTCAGCAAAAACTTTTTCCAACAAAGGAAGCACCGGCTTGATTATGTGCACCTGCTTCTCCTCCAAACTCTCAAGGATCAAAAAGAAGTCCGTCCAAATTTCTTGGTTTGAGGAATCCCATTCGAATCTGTTGCAGGGCGCAGAAATTTTTCTAATAGTGAAAAAGTGCAGAGCCCTCTTCAGCATATATCGTGCCTGTTTTCTCGTCATTTGGTCCCTGCTGACAAGTCCCTTTTGAACCACCAGCCAAAAGCAGTCATCGTGGAGAAATCTCGGTTCTAATTTTGTGGAGGATAAAAAAATTTCCATCAAAAGGCACAATGGAGTGAGTTTCATATTTTTTGGGTTTTCTTCAGTTAAAATTGTACTCCAGATTTCTGAAACATCTTGAGGATTTGAGTTTAAAACTCTGGGCAACAAATTTGAAATGGCAAACGAACTGAGTCTGTCACAGCCACTGAAAATTAACGCCAAGGCCAAAGTTGAGATTTTCGTGGACAGATTTTCTTCAGGGCAAAAATTCAGGAGACAGTCAAGCAAGTTCAGCGGCATCATTAGAGAGGAAGACTCTTCTTGCAAAAGGCATCCACCCTCCAAAATTCCGTTGACGTATTTTACAACCTGGTTCAAAAATATTTGCGACAGTCTGCTAGAGTTTTCTTTCGGGATGAGTGACAGGCTGTCTTTCAAAATTGGCAAGCTGACATCACATTTTCTGTTGGAAAAATCAAGAAGATGGGTAAAAGTGTGAGAAATGAGAGTCTCAAGTTGTCGAGCTATCTCCACATCGGTACACTCGATTTCGCAGGCAAGTCTTGCGGAAATTAGGCGATGAATATGAATGACTTGCTGGTCATTTTCGTTGAATGAGAGTGGCAACTGCGATGCGATAGTATTCTCCAACAAATTTGCCAGCTGCTTCTTTCCTTCAATAGGAAGTAGTTCTTGAGCAAATTCCATCGTCTCAAGGCCGGATTTCAATCAGATTTCACTATCGACAATCTGTAAAATATAACGTACATAAAATTATTATATTTATAAATTACATAGTCAATAAAAGATCAATAATAATAATAATAATAACAGTACATGTGTACATCAAAATTGTTTATTTGAGAATAATTAAATTGTAAGCAAATACTTTTATAATTATTTTGTAAATCATCTTTTTTTACCTTGTTTTAGTCTTCAGTCTGGGCTGGCCGCTGGGCTGGATGGGTTTCCGTGAGGGCGAGGGGTGAGGGTAAAAATATAAAAAGTGCGAAATCAAAACGTCAAAATAAATATGCTCGCGGCAAGTTCAGCAGGTTCAGCACAGTTCAGCACACGTGAAATTTGTTTTGCATTTTAGTTCCAAGTTTTAACGCATCCGCACCGAGGCGCCTGTTGCTAGTCGAGTTTTTTATTCTATTTCTTAAAACTGTTGCCAACCTGAATTTTATGTGTTTTGAACTCACTTGAAAAATATTCCTAGCCTGAATGAACATTACGTTATTTAAATAAAAATTGAAATAATTTAAAATAAATATAGATGATTTTTATAGACTAAGTACAAAGTACGTAAGCTAAATGTTTCGTTTAAAACTTTATGAATTTTAAATTAATTGGCAACATTGTCATTCCAGCTGAATCAAAAACATTTCGATTATTTCGCATTTCGCTACGTTAGGAAAAAGCCATTGCGTGAGATTAATCGCAAATGTGCGATTTATTTTTAGTTTTCGCAAAGAATCTAGAGTACATAGAGCAATGATAAATGTGAAAGTATCTGAAGATTAGACGGAAAAACACGTCAAACATCAAAACCTCGATTTCTTCCTCAGAAAATTTAAAGCAAAGACTTCTTGCTTTGCATCTGCTTACATACCTTCTTGCGAAATTGTGAAGTTCAGACGACCAAAATGGGAACAACTGTCGAGTTATTTCAGGTATAATTTCCCAAACGGCTTGATTTTGTAGTTTTTATGCGTCGTATTTCTTGCAGAGGTCATCTTATGCAATCGCCCGAGGATTGTACGACAGTTCCATGGGATTTCTGACTTTGGCCAACTTGGACAAGAAAATCCAGGAGCGCGAGCTGCAAACGCCAGTTCGCAGGCAAACGAACAAAAAGGACGCAAAACCAGCCGAGTATAATTAAAAATTTAAAAAAATTCGTCATGTATTGAAAATATTTTTTATTTCTACAGACGTCCAAAAGTTTTAGAAAGAACTCTTCAGTGTTGTCTACTGAACGGCGGAGTTTTTCTGGCCAGCATCTTGGTTTTCGACTACATTTTGCTGCCGTCAATGAAAAGAGTCCTCTTTCTACTGGGCACAGACCAGTATATGTGGTCCTGGACCAAGTCCTTGCTGTCATGGACTTTTGGTGCCGTTTGGGTCTTGCCAATTTTTCTTCTGAGCAAAATGATCAACGCGCTGTGGTTTCAGGTACAACCGCTTTCAAATCACAAAGCAAAAATTTTAAATTAAAAACAAATTATGGTTTTGCATTAGAAAAGAAAATAAAATTTTGTCTGGTCCTATTTAATTTTTACTTATTTTCAAATTTTATTCAACAGGACATTGCTGACTCGGCCTACCGTTACTCTCGAGGTCGACCTGTGATGATGGCGAGCATCAGCAAAACCATTGCGGACTTCCTCTTCAGCTTGCTGGTGCAGTCTCTGTTCCTCTTGCAGGCCATGCTGGTCAGCACACTGCCCTTGTACCCGATGGGGGAGATCCTCAGCATGGTCCACATGAGCCTCTTGTACTCTCTGTACGCCTTCGAGTACAAATGGTTCAACATGGGCTGGGAGCTGCACAAGAGGCTCACATTCATCGAAACGCAGTGGCCTTACTTCCTCGGCTTTGGCCTGCCACTCACCATTGTCACGTCCATATCAGCCTCTTATATCATCAAGTGAGTTGAGATATTTTAGGAAATAAAATAATACTTATTTTGTAAAATCGTTTCTCTTTTTAGTGGCTGTCTCTTCTCAATACTTTTTCCATGGTTCATCGTCAGCGCCAATGAAGCTCAAGTTGTTTCCAACTCTTGGTGAGTACAAAAATTTTCACTCTTGAATAACAGAAATTGCTTCATTTAGATAAATTATGTAATTTTCATTCGTATATCTCCGACAATCATGGGTTTATTTAAAAAAAAAATATAAATTTTTTTTGTTGCCCCCTCAATGTTCTCAACCACAATCAAGAGTGAGCTATTTTTTAATGAAAATAATGACGGAAGTTTTTAATTCGCAGTGAATACCCCTTGCAACTATTCATGCCCGTAATTGCGGTTTCGAACGTCGTGTTCAACAAAACGATTGGAACCGGAGTGAACGCATCCGCCGGTAACTTGGCAGTCCCGAGAAAACAAAAGACACAAGGCTGATCAACAGATTGATCGAATGATGGTGTTGAGATAAGTTAATATGATAAGAAAAGCATTGCTTTTTGATACGACTCGGAAGCGACTATGACAAAAAGTGACTCCTGAAAATAATTTTTGATTGCCACAAGACTGACTCACTATATTTTATTGCTTATTTTCAGGGTCACACAAGTTTTTATTGAAGTTTTTCAACAGAATTTTTGATTATTCACCCATGGGCTGTGATTGATTTGTAATTAAAACAAGAATAGCCACAAATTTCAATAGAATTAGCTGGATAATGTATAAAAAAATTTAAAATCAATTCAATCGTGTTGGGAAAGGAAATTTGAATTATTGTAATTTAATTTGTATAAAATATACAAGTGATTTATTCATCAAATTGATTTCTAGTTGCTGATATATTACTTAATTCAAAATTAATTGATAGACACACATTTGCACAAATGTTCCGCTTGCACTCATTATTGTGAAAATCTTCCAAGGTTCTTCATTTGTCTGTGTTGTGTAACAATAATTATGGAAAAAGTTAAATTAAAATCTAACACTGAGGAATAATGTCATAGTTTAATTAATTATATTTTGTCCTTTATTACATGAGCTGTATTTTAAAATATAACCAATTCGTTTTGTTGATTATTTATTTTTTCTCTGCTCACATAAGTTTTTGTAAGCAGAAAATATGATACACGGCCTTTTATAAAAAACGACCCCTTGGTCAGAGACGCGCAAGAGATGACCTGTGACACTGCCGACCAAGACTCCATTTAACTGTCACAGGGTAATTTAGTGGCTCTATTGTGCACCACCGGCACCGCCCCTTGCTCCCCCAATCCACGCCAGGGGAAAATATGAGACGTTTTGGCAGCCACTTTTTATACTAGTTGACTGCACAATTTGGCCGTAATTCAGAATTCATTTTATAAAAGTTTGAGATAAAAATTTACATTTGCGACATGCGACACCAGAGCAAATTGATAAGATCTTCGTGGCCCGGCGCTTACTTCGGAGCGAGACTTGACGTCAATGGTGCCCAGCATTTATCAGCCTCGATAGCTCAGTTGGGAGAGCGTTAGACTGAAGATCTAAAGGTCCCCGGTTCAATCCCGGGTCTGGGCAAATTTTTAGTTTTTGTGAGGAAAAAATTGCCTAAATATAAAATCTGAAGTAAAGCCAGAATGGGGAATTATAAAATTAGACATGTATGATTATATGATCATATTTTTAGTACCTAAAATTAAAATTAGATTATGAAAAAAAAATATATATATAAAATTATTTGCAAGTAAGAATAAAGAATTGAGAGAATTTTGTATGAGCCTTGCTGAAAACTATAAAAATAGCACAAGTTATTTTTCTTACAATTAAAACCAAATTAAAAAGAACAGTTCAATGTAAAAAAAATTTTTTTTTAAAATAAATTCCTTTGTGCTGACAAATTATTAAGTTTAATTATATTACTGAACAAATTTTATTTAAACAAAAATTTATGTTTAGCAAATTATTAAAAAGAAATTACTAATTTTAACCTAATAAATAAGACTTCTAATAAAATAAAACGATTATTTTTTTTTTATTAAATTATGTCCGGAAAAAATTTCATGTTGGCTTCTTTAGAATATTTCAGCCGTCAACTTGTACAAAAAGAAATTATCCCTGCACTCGCATCTGCTAACGATTTGAAATAATAATGTGGTAAAAAAGAGCATGTGCAAGCCATGTGGAAACGACCTCTCGTTAGAAAAACACCCTTTTGACCACCCCTAAAGCGAACAATATCCCACAAATCACCGGCAAAACAAACGTGAGTTAAGTGCATTCGGAGCTAATTTTTCCTTCATTAGCCGCAAAAAAGCGTTTTTCCTTCTTCGGACGACAATAATCTGTTTCATTTCTCCCTCGACGGCAAACATTTTTCTCTCGTGCAGGGTGCAGCGTTTCGCGAGTTTTTCTCACCATTAACCATCGGCCGATGTCATCGCTCACGGAGAGCATTATGATTGCTCAATAATGGTTATTGCGCTGCCTGGCCCAGTCATTTGTAATGCGGCTCTCTCGTTCTGGGGGTGGCAGCATTTTCGGCCGCCCCTAATTGAGCCCTGTGAGTGAGATGGATGGCACGAAACGAGAAGGACACGGCGGACAAAAAGGAGACACATTTTGGTGCAGCCGACCACGGAAAATAAATATTGTACAAACGTCCTTATCTGCGCCCGGGGGGACAATTTTTCCCGTTCTCGGAGGAGGTCTGTTTTGAATAAAAAATAAATAAACGTGTTTCACATAATTTTTCGACTCCACTTACTTTCCTTCCTGCTTTTTGCAATTTGAGCGCGGTAGATTTTTCATCCAATTAGCCCGGTTTCAGCGCCACCGTTTTTCGTTGCTTGTTCTCATTCTGGTGATTAGGTGGGGCGAGTTTGGGCTATTTTATGGCAAACGGAAATGAAGGGTGGCTTTTTAAAAGATGAGCTTGGGCCTCTTGTTGCAATTTAAGGCTCTAGTCTTCATTTAGTTTTTAAATGCATTCAATTCAGTCCAATTAAATCGCGTTGAATTGATAAAAAGGGCAAAAGTAAATGACGTAGAGACGTAATTAACGCTTGAAGAAGTTGACACTCGAGGAGATGATCATGGAAATGAAGATTCGGGCTTTTCCTCGTTGCAAAAAATTGTCACCCCTCAATTCAATTAACTTGTGAGTTTGAAAAGGATGACCAAATCCCATTTCTTGACCTACTTTTAAAAAAAGATGGTGAAAAAATTGCAATTTCAGTTTACCGCAAGCCCACCTCCACCAACTCAACCCTCCACTTTGAATCAAATCACTCTTTCTCAACTAAGTTCTCTGTTGCTCTCTCAATGTTTAAAAGAGCATACAGTTATTGCTCAGGGGAAATTTCTTTGAAAGAAGAAATTTCCAACATTTACAAAATTCTTCGTCAAAATTGTTACCCCGTAAATTTTATCAACAAAGCACACAATAAAGCAAAAAATCCTCCAACACCCAAAGCCCCCGAACAATTTTCAACCACAATGGTCATTCCTTATTTTAAAGGAAAATCAGAGAAAATCAGGGCCATCAGCCAAGAAGTTGCCAGAGTACGAGTTGCTTTCTCAAACTCTTCAAATCTGCGAAAATGTTTAATGCATGTAAAACCCAAATGTGAACCTGCTCTACGTAATTGTGTATACCGCGTGCCATGCGCCGATTGCTCTTCAGTTTACATTGGGGAGACAAAAAGACACGTTTATTTCCGATTTGACGAGCATAAAAGGGCAATTTCAAAAACTTTTGATCCGGCTTCAATTGGGACGGACAGCAATGGTTTTCAAATAGCTCAACACGCGACTGAATTTGGCCACTCTTTTGCATGGTCAGATGCAACGGTTATTAAATTCGAACAAAATCAATCAAAAAGAAAAGTGCTGGAAGCAATGGCAATGGCATGCGGTAATAATGTAATAAGCCAACCGAGCCACCAATTCGATCAAAGGTGGATGTCCTTTTTGAGAGAGGAAGCAAACAGCTTTTTCTCGAAAACGCATAATGTGCCCGACGTCATTCGGCGCCCCCGTGGTCGGCCGCGCCGCGCGCTAATCACCCAATAAAGATCACCTCCCCCAATCAATCTGTCTTTAGCTAGCTCATTCTTGTATTAGTCAGCGAGCAGCGCGTTTGCTCATGAAATAGGTTGGTACTTGAATTTGTTAGTTTTAAGATTTTTATTTTTATGTTAAAATGTGGTTTTTTAAATTTTGCTGATTTTTTGTATTTTTTCTTGCTCATGAAATAGGGTCGCAGACCGTGACCGTAACTGGTAGAGCCGTTTGTTTTTGAATAAAAAACAATTTTTTGCAACGAGGAAAAGCCCGAATCTTCATTTCCGTAATTAACGCTCATTATATTTTATTATCTTCATTTTTAAATTTAAGTGGTTTTCCAAAAAATATGCTTTAATAATTTTTGTTTGGAAAGAAACGAGTTTATACAAAAAAGTAATGTAAAAAATACGATTTTGAGGAAACCTGGAGTTAAAAGTAGGCGATCCCTGTTAAAAAATTTTTTTAATTTAAAAATCAAAACTGGTCGTTTTGGTTGATCAAATGAAAAATTTCAATAGTTTAAAAAAAATTCCAATTATAATGTTTGATTTTTTTCTTTTCTTTTCTAGCAAAATAGTTTGGAAGTAAAAACATAAAATAAAATTCTAATAAAAAGATTCTAGAACCTTTTATTATTATTTATTCTTTGTGACTTGACTCTCATTTTCTTCAAAAATTCTTTCAATCTCTCTGTGAGAAAAATTGTGTACAAACATTAATTAATCATTGGCGCAGTGAGCATCTGCACTTCCAAACATGGGCTGCACGGTGATTACAACTCTTTGAATACCGCCAAGAGGGTTTCCGTTTCGCACAAAGGGCGCCGCGACAGTTGTTGGCCGGCCTTTGTTGATGTTTTCTGCTCAATTAATTAGATAATGCGCCTGCAAACGTCCACCAAGCAGATTCTGTTATAATGGCGGTGCGATTTGCATGCGTGATTGATGGTTTTTTAACGTGTCAAATTATGAGCGAGAGGAGAGAGCAGGAGGCGCGTTGCTTTTCCAAATCTCATTGATGGCAATTTTGTTGAGTGTCGAGTTGACTGCTGGTATTTACAGGTCAGTGAACATAAAGGCAGGCGATGATATTGCTCTTGAAAAAGAAAAAGAAACAACCGACTGCGCCGCTAATGCCCTGCCAAATCAATCTGCGCTGGCCGGGTGGTCGCTTTTTTCAAAAAGACAATCAGCGAACTCACTTCGACTAACAGAGGGGAGCGGATTTTTAGCGGGATCTTCACGTTAAAGGTATAATTTGTAGAAATTACGCACGAAAGCAACAAGAAGAAAATATGACATTCATAAATTTTTTAATTTTAACGTTTTCCGCTTTGCATCTGCATTCTTAATATTTTCCTTTTACAGGTAAAATTCTTCTGACATTCTAGTATAAAATTAATATTTAAATAAATGTTGTTTTTTTAAATTGTTGATAATGAATAATGATATAAAATTTTACTCTTTACATAATTGTATTTAATTTTATTTATTATAGATTTTCATATTATTCATATTCATTCATATTATATATTAAATCACATTTATTTTATAATTAAAGATTTAAAGATTAATATTATCTTTATTATTTTTTAACCTCTATTATACGCCAGTAAAATCGATTTTTCTTCGGTTGTCAATAAATATTTCAACTTTATTTTGGGTATTAAATAAATAAACTTTAGCATATCATTGAATGTGCGGTTAGATTAACATTATTTTAAAATTCTCTGATTAGTGGCTATTCCATTTCTAGAGACGCCAAGCTTAAAGGCGTTAAAATATTAATTTTATATAAAATAATCTCTTCTCAATTTTTCAATATTCTTATCCGGCAAGTTCAACATTTATTTGAACATAAATTATAAATAATTAAATGAAAAATTCCTCTACTGATCGATTTATTCAGCCAAAGCTGTAAAAAAAAAGAAACATATTCCAAACTATTCTCAAATTATCCATTGCGTGGCTGGAAATCTGCTCCCTGGTATGTTCCGGGAGTGTGAGAAAAGGATGGTGCTGTTTGCTGAG